GCTGATAAGAGGAAGGAATTTATTATACAGCAGCATGTACAAACCAGGTCCTCAGTTTCCTGCCAGAGAACAACACTCAGCGCTTTGGTGGATGACAAAACGCAGCAGGCTATCACTATGCTCATTTTTACCGATGGGGCAACCGAAGCACAGAGAGAAGACAGTTACCTTTTCCGTACCTGGCGTTCTTCGAGATGCGTCGCTCAAGTGCATTCCGCAATAGGTGTCTGTGCTTGGCACATGCACCGGTGCCAGAAGTTTTCCCCCTAGCAGTATCCGTAGGGGAGTGTCCCTCGCGACCCCTGGAGTGGCGGCTCCACGGCGTGGTATAAGGGGCGCTGTGTGCTCCCCCCACCTTCAGTTCATTCTTGCCAGACAACTCCGACAGAGGGGAAGGAGGGCAGGATGTGGAATGGACGTGAGCAACACATCTCGAAGAACACCAGTTCAGGAACGGTCTTTTCTTCTTCGAGTGGTTGCTCATGTGCATTCCACAATTGGTGATTCTAAGCTATATCTGTTGGAGGTGGGTAGGAGTTCACAGACACTTGGGACAGAGTACAGCTCTGCCGAACCCAGCATCCTCCCTAGTTTGGGAGACGATTGCAAAATGCGAGGTGAAAGCATGAACCGAAGACCATGGGTCAGCCCTACAAATGTCCTGAATGGGGACATGGGCCAGAAAGGCAGTCAACAAGGCTTGTGCCCTAGTCAAGTGCGCCCTCACAATCGGTGGCAGGGGGACTCCTGCCAGGTCGTAACAGGTACGAATACAAGAGGTGATCCGGTTGGAGAGCCACCGAGTGGAGATCGGCCGACCTCTCACGCATTTGGCTGAGGCAATGAAAAGCTGCAAGGACTTCCTGAATGGCTTTATATGTTCTAGGTAAAAGGCTAGAGCCCACCTCACATCCAGCATGTGGAGGCGGTGCTCCCCACTGGACACATGGGGCTTGGGACAGAGCACTGGCAGGAAAATGTCCTGACCCATATGGTAGGTGGAGACCACCTTGGGGAGGAATGAGGAATGTGGTTGGCGCTGGACCTTTTCCTTACGGAACACAGTGGATGGGTGTTCAGAGGTCAGGGCCCAGAGCTCCAAGATCCATCTAGCAGATGTGATCACCACCAGGAAGGTAGCTTCCACAAAAGGTAAGACCAGGAGCATGTAGCTAGCAGTTTAAATGGGGGACCTGTCAACCTGGTCAGCACCAAGTTCAGGTCCCACTTAGGGGACTGGGAGCCTAACATACGGGAAGAGACGCTCCAAACCCCTAAGGAATTGGCCAATCAAAGCACGGGAGAACACCATGTGGCCCTGCACCGGTGGGTGGAAGGCCTATATGGCCACCAAGTGCACCTTGACAGACCAGGGCGCTAGACCTTGGGCTCTAAGGTGAAGGAGATAGTCTAAAATGAGCTGAAGCGGAGTGGCCACAGGCAAAACGCCTTGATCAGCTGCTCACCAGGAAAACTGAGACCACTTTGCCAGGTAGGCCCGACGTGTGGAAGGCTGTCTGCTTTCCGGGAGGACGTGCTGAACCCCTTCCAAGCAAGTCCTCTCCTCCTGGCCTAACCATTGAGCAGCCACACCGTGAGGTGGAGTGCTGATAGGTTGGGGTGGAGGCAGTGGCCTTGGTCCTGGGATAGCAGGTCCGGGAGGGATGGCAACAGCCATGGTGGGGCAACTGCTAGGCTCGTAAGAGTCCCATACCAATGCTGCCTGGGCCACACCGGGGCAATCAGAAGGACCCAGGCCCTGTCTGTTTTTATCTTCTCCAAGACATTGCCGATCAGCGGGATCGGGGGGAAGGCATAGAGAAGCTGACCCAACCAGGATAGGAGGAAGGCATCGGAGATGGTGCCCTTGCCCAACCCCCCCAAGAGCAGAAGCGGGGACACCGGTGGTTCTGCCGTGTCACAAACAGGTCCACCTGGGGAGTGCCCCACGTTTGGAAAATGCTGTGCACCACCTCTGGGTGTAGCGACCACTCGTGCTGAGAGGAGACGTCTTGGCTCAGGCGATCCGCTCGAGAGTTCTGGGCGGCTGGTAAGTGGTGGGCTTCCAGGCAAATATCGTGGGCTATACAGAGGTCCCACAGCCTGAGGGCTTCTTGACAGAGGGCAGAGGAGTAGGCCTCTCGCCTTGCCTGTTGATGGAAAACATTGAGGCAGTGTTGTCTGTGAGAACCTTGATCACTCCACCCTCCAGGTGCACGCGGAAGGCCACGCATGCCAGATGGACTGCCCAGAGCTCCTTGACATTTATATATAGGGCAAGGTCCCGTGCGGACCACAGACCTTGGGTCTGAATGTTCCCCACATGGGCTCCCCACCCTATGTCCGACGCATCGGACACCAGGTCCACAGATGGGGGCTGGCCATCTGTGGAGCCATCCATGGAGCATGAACGGGACCCCGCGGAGCATGTTCCCCAGGGAGGACCACCATCGAAGAGAGGTGATCATCGGTTTGGGCACAGTGAGGACTTTGTCCATCCTGTCTCTAGACTGGGAGAACATCGAGGCCAACCAGAGCTGGAGTGGCCTCATCCTGAGTCTGGTCTGGTGAATCACATATGTACACGCCCACATGTGACCCAGAAGCTGGAGGCACGCTTTGGCTGTGGTCACGGGGAACCTTGTGACTGTGCTGATGAGTTCCCTTAGGGTTTCGACCGCTGGCCGCTGTCATGTCCAGGACTGCCCCAATACACCCGGTGCAGCACACAGAGTTTAACATGGACTTGGTGTCGTTTGCCAACAGGCCCAGAGCGTTGCACATGGACAGAAGAAGTACCACAGGACCCTGCACCTGCAACCTGGAGCTGCCCTTGACCAGCCATTTGTCGAGATAGGGGAAGATCTGGACCCTGCGGCGTCTGAGGTAGGCCGCAACCACAGACATGCACTTTGTGAATACCCTGGGAGCAGTGGACAGGCCCAATGGGAGGACCGTAAATTGGTAGTGTTCCTGCCCAACTGTGAAATGGAGGAAACGTCTGTGTCCCTCAAATATATGAATGTGGAAGTACACGTCCTGCAGATCAAGGGTGGCGTACCAGTCCCCAGGATCCAGGGAAGGGATGATGAAGGCCAGAGAGACTATGTGAAACTTGAGTTTTACAATGTACTAATTCAGGCCTCGCAGGTCCAGGATGGGCCTGAGCCCCCCTCTGGCCTTCAGGATAAGGAAGTAGTGGGAGTAGAAGCCCTTGCATCTGAACTCCTCCAGTACCACCTCCACTGCTCCTAGGCCAAGAAGCCACCCCACTTCCTGCTTGAGCAGGGCCTCATGAGAGGGGTCCCTAAGAAGGGACAGGGATGGAGGGTGGGTGGGTGGGGTAGAGGTAAACTGGAGGGGGTAGCACCGGGAGATGGTGTTGAGTAGCCATCGGTCTGAGGTAAGCCGCGACCACTCTGGGAGAAAAGCACACAACCGGTTGGAGAAGGGAAGCTTTATTGCGGGTGGATCCCTGGTATGAACTGGTAAGTAGCCCCAGGCATCCCACTTTCCCACCTGTTTACCCTTGAAGGGCCCAGGTTGGGGCGCAGACTGGGATTGCCTCCGCGGGCGTTTCTTATAGTCCCTTGACTTTTTATAAGGGGGCTCATATTTAGAGTGGGTGGCCTGGGGTGGGAGCCTGCTCTGGCTTAAACTTGGTCCTGGCCGGGCCCGGGACATAGAGGCCAAGGGTCTTAAGGGTTGTGCGTGAATCTTTCAGGCCGTGCAATTTCACATCCATCTATTCCACAAATAGGGCCTTGCCATCAAAAGGAAGGTCCTGTAAGGAGTTCTGTGCCTCGCTGGACAGCCCAGACAGCAGAAGCCACCACGACCTCCTCATGGACACCGCGGAGGCATAGACCTTGCAGCCGTATCTGTGGCATCTGAAGCTGCCTGAAGGGCCACGCTAGCAGCAGCCATACCGTCCTCCAGCAGAGCCTTGAACCCCTTTTTTGTTACACTCTTAGAGGGAATCCTCAAATTTGGGCAGAGAGCCCCACAAATTGAACTCCTATCTCCCCAGTAGGGCTTAGTGGTTCACCACCCTCAGTTGGAAACTCAAGGACAAATAAACCTTCCGCCCAAGTAGATCCAGTCTCCTCGAGTCTTTATTCTTAGGAGATGGGGCTGGTTTTTCCACAATAGGTTCAGTGGTACTGGGCTCCTTGGCCGGCACCATGGTACCAATGGGCCCCGATGTGGCCCACGACGCAGCCGCTGGTGGTGGCTTGCTTGGTGGCCTGCTTGGTGGCCGGTGTCTCAGAGAGACCATTGGCCTCCCTTTCTCAACCTCCCAGGAAGGAGTCGGTGGAGCGTTCATCCCCGGTTCCGCACCCAGAGGGGGACCAAGTGGTGGGACCTGCGGCACCGGTGGGTATGCAGAGTACTGCGCCCCCATCCTCCCCGGATGAGCCAATCAAGGCTCCTCCTCCACCTGTCCCACAGGAACTGTTGAAAAGGGTGGCATCAAGCCACAACCTTCAAGCCGAGGAGGTGGAGGAACCCTTGGACTCCCTTTTCAATGTCCTCTCTGCTTCGGCACTGGGCAGGGTGCCTCTCCCGCTCCATAAAGGGATGCCGAAGATTTCAAATGCCTTGTGGCAAACTCCGGCTTCCTTGCCACCCATCTCTAAGAGGGCGGAATGGAATTACTTCATGCCCGCTAAGGGGCATGAATACCTGTACACCCACCCTGCTCCCAACTCCTTAGTGGTCAAGTTGGTCAACCACAGGGAGAGGCAGCACTTCTAGCACTGGTGCACGTGGTGGGCACACACACCTATTGTGGAATGTACATGAGCAATCACTCAAAAAAGGAAAAGTGACTTGCCCAAGGCCACCCATTAAATCAGTGGCAGAGCTGGGATTAGAACCCAGAGCTCTCAACTTCTAGTCTAATGCCTTATCACTTGAACCTCTCTCTGAAGAAATCGGGGTGTTACCTGAAACTGGGCCAGCTAGTAAGCTTAGGGAGGACTAATGACCCACCAGAGTTTGGCAGAAAGCAGCACGTTTATTATTCTGATAGCTAAGCTCAAAAGTGGGGAGCGGGGGAGTAACACTCACATTTGCATACTCACGCTCCCAGGACAGGCACAGCACGGGAGATGTCAGGATCCTTCAAGGTAAGTGTCCCACAGCGCAGCAATGGAAAGGTAAGTCTTCCCAAGGCACGATGGAATGCAACGCAGCGGACCACTGGCCAGGCGGTCCGGGTGAAGGGCCTTCACAAAAGGTACAAGCTTGTGAGTGCACTCCTGACCACATGACCCCTTCCCCTTTTAAGGACCTGCTCTACAAAGGCAGGGAGGGGACTTAAGCATCCTGACTGAAAATAGACCCACACGTTCAAAGCCCAGCTTGATCAGCTCAACCCTTCATCTTCCAGAGCCTCATACACTGAATTTCATGTTTTGTTCGTTCACCATGTGATCTTCTGGCCAAACCTTTCAAAACTCAAGCTCTTAGAGGGCCTCAAAGATCACACAGGGCAAAAAGATCTGAGTGAAACAGGTAATGTTACAGCTGTGGTTTGCCTAAAGGTTTCCCTTACAGTGCAGAAATCCACCCCAGAGGTGGCTGTATCTCAGCATGGAAAAGGTTCCCTTGTGTGCACTTTTGAAAAGTTAGAAGCATTTCAAAGCAGCCTGTTACTTGATTATTTCCTGCTCCACTAACATTAAGCACCCAGATTGTAAAATCACATCATGGATGATGAGTCAACAACTTCTGACAGAGGAAGTTTGGTGGCAGCCAGTGCCCTCTTTGTTTGGTGCCCGAACGTCGCCATATTTCTGTGCTCTTCCAGTTCAGCCTCTATCACATGTATGGCTAAAAGCAGGAATTTCAAAACCAGATCAATCTCAACTGGTACTTTCTAATTCCCAGTCACTGCCCTCCACACAGAAAGCGGCCGGGGGGGGAGGGAAATGTCTGTCTGTAGCCCTCGTTAGTGTGGTCTCTGAGCACCTCACAATTTTCAGTGTAGTTCTCCTGACCACTGTTCCCTCTAAGCTGTGGGCGCGCACACACAGATCCGAAACCCCATGCACACGGCAAAACACTGTGTGCACAAAAATGTGCACAGAAGCACAATAATTTGCACAGAATAAAATGCCTGTCAAAAATTAGAGGGAACGTTGCTCCTGACCCTTCCTCCAGGATAGGACTGGGGCAAACCCAGGACCAGTTTAGATGCCAGGAAGGGGCTGAGAGGGTTGAAGGAAGAGGAAGATCTAAAGTGTGGGAAGCTGGGAGAGCCTGTGATAAGAGAGCCCCTGTCCCTCTAGGCTGGCCTGGCCCAGCCTGCTCTTGTTTACATTCATGCTTATCTACAAGGAAAGATTAAAGAAAATGCTGAATCTAACATCCACAAAAGAAAAACTGCTCTCTGAAGTCACAGGCTGGATCCTTCTGCCCAGCTCTTTAGAACAACAAACATCTCTGTCTAAACTAGCATCTGCCCAAGAGCTGCATCCAGACACAGGTGACGTGGGCCTCAAACGCCCCCACATTTCCAGGAGTTTGACTTCCCAGCCCCACTTCCATTACCTAGTTTTTGCACATACTTGTCGTATTTCCCATTCACTTTGCTTGTTCCATGATTGCTGACACTTGGGATTTTATCGTGAGTCTCAAGATACTTGGTGATTTTCTTAAAGCCCCAGCTCCCGGAGTCAAACGATTAACAGAGCATCTCGGCTCACACTTAAAAGAGAAGTACGTTTCTAGCCCTCATGGTTGTGGAGAAAACCTTGATAACATGGCCACTAAAGGGTGAAAGACCAGCACTGGTTATTTTTAAAAATCTTGGGTTTTAAGCTAATCTCATTATTTTGGGGGCCTAATTCATGCTTTTTGAACACTGGGGATTGGTCAGCCTCACTTTTTCTAAAGCATCAGATAGAGAGGGGACTAAGCTGAAAGTTCAGGTGAGAACAGCATAGCTTTCAGAAGAGTTCAGAGCCAGATCCAAACTTCACTGCTTTTCTTATCATGGGTGGAAGCAAACCACAGCATCTAACATCTCGAGCGTTCAGGTAAGTCTGGCTCCTGATTTGACTAGCTTAGACCTATCTCTAACCTCAAACCAATCTAGCAGAAGCAGCCTTCTCTCCTTTTCTGGAGGCATATTTATATAAGCCCATGGCTTCCAGGCAGAATGACCTGGGGTTCAGCGAAAGATAGATGGCCAGAGAGGCCACTTTTGCAGCTACACGATGCCCTGGGACAACTCTTCCAGGACTATTTGTTGTAACTGTCCACATGGTCATTATCGAGACAAGGTGTATGAGCATAAGATTGTTTAGCGTAAGTAGTTAGCACATACTCTAAGGGACTGAAGCGAAGCGAAGACTCACCAGCACGGCACCTCCTGCTGGTAGTCTTGGGAATTGGCTCAACTCCAGCCCAGAGCGCCCTCTGTTGGCTGGTGTCTCACCTGCCACAGGCCCCGCATCCCTTTACCTCAGGGTTCTGCCCCCAGCAGTACCCCCACACTCTGGGGGTCCCCTCCTGCCTCTTAACCCACCTTGCCTTAGTGGCTACTGACAGTCATCATCTAGCCCCCGCTCACTGGGGCAGACTGAAGTTTGTAATGGCCACTGATCATTGGCAAGGGGTTAGGACCTGCTGCCTTTGCCTATCCCCAGGCTGTATCTCTGCAGCCCCAGTACCTCTGTAGGCCTGGGGTTTTACCAGGCTGGAGCTCCCCAGACCTATTCCCCAGCACTGCTCCAGTTCAGGTACCTTGCTGCCAGGCAGCTAGCCCTTCCCACTCCAGGACTAGAGTGAGACTCCTCCAGTTTCTCGCCCTCAGCCCTCTTATAAGGGCCAGCTGGGCCCTGATTTAGCTGGCCACAGCTGTGGCTGCTTCCCCAATCAGCCTAGCTTGGCTGCTTTTAACCCCCGTTCTCCAAGAGTGAGGCAACCGCCCCACTACAGGGACCATTCAAGGTGAAGTGGTCTGTTAACACCTCGGCAGCCATAGGACTAAAAGAGGGGAGTTAGTAGATTACAGATTGTTGTAACAAACCATACATCCAGTCTCTGTTCAGTCCACGATTTTTAGTGTCTAACAGAATAATGAATTTAAGTTCTGCTAGACATTAAAAATCTGTTCCACTTTACATTTTCCTGTGAGGCTGGGAGTACCTTTCCCAGACGTGAAGAAGAGCTCTGTGTAACTCAAAAGCTTGTCTCTCTCATCAACAGAAGTGGGTTCAACAAAAGATATTACCTCATCCATCTTGTCTCTCTCTCATACCCTGGGATGAACACAGCTACAATTACGCTGCATTCACATACATGGTCATTAACAGGATTGAGTTGGCAGGATTCAGGCTCATTGGAGGCCAACACTGGGGGAGCCAGCACACCTCATAGCATGACCCAAACAACTGGGGAAGTTACTCATGACCTTAGCTGCAGGGTTTTCAGCATGGGGGGGGGAACAGATGGGGATGAGGGGGCAGGAAGATCAATATCAAACGTGACTTAAGACAAGCTGCATGGGGACTGATCCTTGGCATTCTGACCAGAACACAACTTTGGTTGACCAGGGCTGACACAAAGAGCATGACTTGGGCTGCTTTCTGGATGGAACTGATTGTTCATTTCATTTCTCACTACAATGCAGAGAAAATCCCAGAGCGGGAGGCAAGTCCCTGGGTAGCCACCAAGACACCGCATTATGCTCTCAACCATGAAACAATGAGCCTCTGAAAATTGAAGTATTTGTCCTAACCACATCCGTTTCCCTGCCCCTCCCCCAGTCTACACTGCAAGGTCTGTGCAAGGATGTTATAGAACTGAGCACCTAGATAAGGAAGGCACAGACGATGTCACTTCCTGGGCAATTCCCTCCCTGCATGTATGGCCCTGACTGGCATCTGAGCATCAACAGAGACCTTGTAAACTCATTACTGGCAGAGATGGGGTTTATAAAATCCTCCCCAGTAGGATGATGCAGGAAATAAGTGAGGAAGTGGTTTTGTCATCTCTAGGGTGGCTGCTGCAGAGTGTTGCAGAAGGGAGATGAATGAGAACAAGATGGTTAGTGGCTCAACCCATTTACTGGAGAACAAATTGTAGGGGGGGAGGTGGGAGTCCCAGCAGAAGAGGTTCTGAACCCAGTGCGGCTACTGCTGGCCTCTGAGCCCTGGGAGCAGAAAACGTATTTTCCTTAAGGCCCATGGTGCATTCCCAGCAGCAGGTAGTGACAGCAGCAGTCAATGGTTGGTTCCAAACTTGCCAGCTGCCATGGTGGTGCTGCTGCTGCAGAGTGGCGAGATCAGTGCTCACTGCCATGCTGCATGACTGCAGGTGGCACCTGCTCCGAGCAGGATGCCCGGTGACACAAGCTGCTTCTGAGTCACGGGTGACAGCACGGAAAAAGCTGCTTAGCATAAACGGGTCACCGAGGTCAGGAGCAGCCTGTTCTCAAGCAAGGAAGGGTTCAGAAACTAGGAGACAGAATGGGGTATGAGAGAACCAAGGCTCCCAATCTCAGCAAGCAATTTTCCTAGCTGCCTAAAGGGAGGCATCAGTTGTGTCGGCCAGTGGCTGCTGCATCCCGCTGAGCTGAGCACGATCCCATGGTAGTGGATCTGGGCCTACTGTCCTTGGCTGCAAGGCTGGGATCTGGAGCAGCCCATGCACTACTGCAGAATGCAGTTACACAGGAGGCAGGCAGCAGTGGTGCACTGAGCCCAGGTTAGATGAACAAGATGAACAAGGGGTTGTCTGTCTCCAGTTCTAACTGGCGACCCTTTGCTCTTGGATTGCTGGAATGCCTGGGAGAAATAGTCCCTCTTTGGAAGGCTCCGGCTCTGCATTATGGCTGCACTTTCAGGTCCTCTTTTGTTTTCTTCAGGGCATCAGCCATCAGGTTGCACGCTTTCTTGTGCTTCTGCCAGTGCTGCACCTGGCACTCCCTGCAAAGAGAAAGGGGACAGAGGGGCAATGGTAGAAAGGAACACATTGGGAACTGGGTCAGGGGGTTGGTATGCGCTATGAAGGCCTTCAGCTCTCCATGTCTGCTTTAAATAAGGGCCAGCCAGGGACAAAACCTGTTACCATCTACCTGTGGTTCAGTGGTCTGTGTGAAACAGAGTAGGGGTACCTGTTGTAGTGGTCAATTGCCCATAGCCATTGTCACTGACTGGTCCCCTCTGCTAGTCTCAGCAATGAGGCTAAGGAGTCCCAAAGAGGCCAAGGACACTGAATTCCCACCCTGGGTGGTTCCCTCTAGGTATAAGGTGAAGCACATTCACTGAGGAGAATCTCACGCGGCTGCTTTTGTTGTGGATAAACAGGGGACTCTGGGGTCTCAGCCCAGCACCTTCCAGCATCAGCACAAAATTCACTTGGATCTTCATAAAAGGGAACATGGAAAGGCTGCTTCTGCTCCGGCTTGTGACATAACTGACCCCAGTGGAGATTCACTGTGGTGCAAAGACAGCTGACTTCACAGTTCCAGTGATGTTGATCAGAGGGTTAGGGGCTGTGAATTCATGCACTGATTGGAAACTCCATGGCAGTCATGAAGCCCAGGTGCATGGGGTATAACACCCCCCACTCCCATCATGACAGGTGCAGAGACCAGCCAGGGCTGCTAAACCCAGCATCATTCAGGTAACAGTAAGCACCAGCATTGGCATGGCCAGGTCTCACAGCAGGACTCTAGTACCAGCTGCGTGCCCAAGGGAGAGGTGAGATCCCAGCTAAGCCCTGAGGGCAGCAGGGAGCTCTGACAGACCAGACAATGCTAAGCATCATTACCGTTTGCAGTACCACTCGTTCTGGCAGCGAGAGCAGCGCTTTGTTGCCTCCGAGCCGCACAGCCCGCACTTGGGTTTCTCTGGGACGAGAGCCTCAAGCACATCCAGGTTGTATGTCCGCGCCCATCTGGTTGGGGATAGAAAGCAGGCATCAGCACCTAGAGCAGGAGACTCATGATGTGAAAGGTGGTGCCTGTCCTGCACAGGATGGAGCCTTTAGGTCTGACCCCACTATCCCTCCCATCCCACTCTCCAAAGGGACCTCCTGCCACAAGCTAGGATTACTGCATCGCTCAGTATCTCAGTCCTACCCAGGGCAGTGAAACTTACGCTGGCTATTTTCTCTTGTCAAGAAGCCCCTGCTCATTGGGACGATGGCTGTGCTGGGCCTCCTGTAGCTAGCAGCCTCATAGCACAAGAGGAAAATAGGGACTGGCCTTGCAAACGGGCTTTCCTGCAAGAGGGTGCTCAGGGTTGCTCACCATACAGCAGCTGGGATCTTACCGGCACGCCAGGTGTTTCAACTCATCCTCTGAGGGGCTGAACATGTGCTTCACCTGGTGCTTGGCAATCGCCTGCCACTTCCCAGAGTTCTCTCTGACAATGCGGTCCCTGATGACGGGAACCTGTCGGGACAGCAAAAAGGGTGAGAGGAGAGTCCTGTCCCAGCATTATAAGCCTGCCAATATGGGGGCGATTCTGGGGCAGGACATACAGGGGCAGAAACAATGCCTGGGGTCAGTGTAGCTCAGGCAGGCGATAAGCACGGACTTGTATGAGAGCAGGAAGCAGGGATGAAGGCTGTATGTGGGATGAAGGCTGTATGTGGGATGAAGGAAGAGGTGACCAATGTGTGTGTGTACATGTGTGTGTAGGGAGCTAAAAGAAGATGTGACAGAGCTGTTTGTACACACACATTTGCACACAGGACAATGGGCAGCGGGTATCATAGGCTGGGGGAAGCTGTGCCTCCCCAAACAGCCTGGCGTGGCCCTGCCCACGCTCCACCCCCAGACCTCCTCCTGCCTGCTTCTAGTTCCCCTTCCCGCTCTTCTGCAGCCGAGTCTGGGATAGGCAAACTGGGTCTGGTGCTCGCAAGGCCCACGGCTGGGGGTGCTGGGGCTGGGGCCACGCGGTGCCGACCACCCAGCGCTGGGGTTGGGGGTGCTGGGATCACGCCGCCTGCCTGCCCAGCGCTCTGGGGCTGGGGGGCACTGGGGCCAAGCCACTCGCCTGGGGCTGGGGGGGGGGCATTCTGGTTGTGCCACCCACCCGGCATTCCGGGGTGGTGGTGCTCCAGCCATGCTGCTTGCCCGGTGTTCTGGGGCTGGGGGTGCTGGGGCCAAGCCACTTGCCCCAGGCTGGGGGTGCTCCAGCCTTGCTGCCTGCCCAGCACTCCAGGGCTGGGGCTGCTGGGGCCGCGCAGGGGGCCTGGCAGCCACGGGGGCAGGGGATGCTCTGGGCTCCAGCAGGGAAGAGGGGGGCAGAAGGGGAGGGGGAGGTGCAGGGCCTCAGGCAGAGGGGGGGAGGCTTGGGGCTAGCCTCCCCCAACAGCTTGTTCACCCACCGCCCATGCGCAGGGGGGAAGGAAGATGACAGATCTCTGTGTATACACACAAGTGTGTGTAAGAGCTGAAGGAAGATGCAACATATCTGTGTGTATACAGGTTGAAGGGAGCTGTACACATATAGATCTGCCAGTTGTGCATGTAGGGGGTGGAGGAAGATGTGGCAGATCTGGAGAAGCAACAGCAGTCTGCTATGAGATGAACCCCTTCTCAGAGTTTATTGAGAAGAGGCCATAGCACGTGCCTCCTAGCTGCATGCCACTGAAGGGAAAGCTCAGCTGTGAACAGCATTTATTCTGGGGAGTGCTTTGATCCCCTGGACCTGCTGCATCTTCCCAGTGCATTTGCCTCCTTAAATTCTCCTAATTTCCTCCCTTCCACCCACACACTCCTTGAATTCCCATGTCAGCCCCAGCCTCCCTTCTCTCCAGGAGGATGGAGGTGATAAGACTTCTTTCAGATTCCTGCACTGACAGAGGCGATAAGGGCTAAGTGAAACAAAGCTATGCCTCCCTCTAATCCTTGGGAGTGAGAGCAGCAGCAGGGCTTGAACTCCAGTAACATGAAGCACTCTCACCAAGCTTGGGGGGGTGGGGATGGGGGACAGGGACAGGCCCAGACTGGACCTGAACCCAGCACTCCAGAATCTCTTGGCTGATTTGATCTTTCTCCCTGAACTGAGAACTTTTTCCACTCATCATTTCTCTGAACAGATTTCAGAGGAACAGCCGTGTTAGTCTGTATTCGCAAAAAGAAAAGGAGTACTTGTGGCACCTTAGAGACTAACCAATTTATTTGAGCATGAGCTTTCGTGAGCTGTAGCTCACGAAAGCTCATGCTCAAATAAATTGGTTAGTCTCTAAGGTGCCACAAGTACTCCTTTTCTTTCTCTGAACAGAAACACCCTCAAGAGCCTTTCAGTGCAAAAGAGCAAATGCCAGCCAAGAACAGAGCATGGAGCTCAGACTCCAGAAGAAAAGCTGCTGTTTCAAAGGAAAAGGAGTACTTGTGGCACCTTAAAGACTAACCAATTTATCTGAGCATAAGCTTTCGTGAGCTACAGCTCACTTCATTGGATGCATTCAGTGGAAAATAAAGTGAGGAGATTTACATACACACAGAACATGAAAAAATGGGTGTTATCATACACACTGTAAGGAGAGTAATCACTTAAGATGAGCTATTACCAGCAGGAGAGTGGGGGGGGACGGGGAAGAAAACCTTTTGTAGTGATAATCAAGGTGGGCCATTTCCAGCAGTTAACAAGAACGTCTGAGGAACAGTGGGGGTGGGGGGGAGAATAAACAAGGAGAAATAGTTTTACTTTGTGTAAGACTCAATTTGCAAATTGGATACAATTAACTTAGGCTTGAATAGAGACTGGGAATGGTTGAGTCATTACACAAAGTAAAACTATTTCCTTTTCTTTTTGCGAATACAGACTAACAGGGCTGCTACTCTGAAACCTGTTTCAAAGGAGCTGTCATCCCTGCAGAATAAAACAGCCAAGCAGAGATGGTGAGAGAAGGACTGCTCTCTGAGAAGCAACCAGTGGAAAAAGCCTTTTTCATCATCGCTTGGCACAGTGACAGTGGGTGAGTTCATTGGACAGGATGCGTGATCAGCATGTGTGACTGCAGCTGGCTTCGCCCAACCCACTCAAGATGCTGAATTCCAATTACATGCATGAGGCTAGTGATGCAAGCTGAAAAGGAGATTGACGAGATTAGAACGGCAGCACATTGAAAGGCCACACAAAACCCTCCAGAGCGATAGCTGCCAGCCTCTGCATTGCTAACTCACTCTGGGCTTGCCAGATGTGGGAGCGGAGAGTGACATCCTACCTACCTCCACTCCATCCTTACCAAAATCATCATCATCCCTTGGCCCTTGGTTTATTGCACACCTTCCTCCTCTTCAGCCTCCCAGCTCTCTGGACTCCAGCCAGTGAAGAATGATACTGGCACACATAAAGAGGTGTGGCTACAGCATCCGTCCTCAATCTAATCAAGGTCCAGGTCAAAACTGCCCTCTGTTATTAAACCCCTTGCGCCAACTTTAAGTGCAATGTCTCTCTCCCTTTTCCCCGTCCCATTCCTCCACTCAGCACTCCTCTGACCCTCCACAAAGTTGCCACTCTGGGTATAAGAGCCTTCTCGTCTGGAGCGCCTGCCATCTGGAAGAGTCTCCACTTTCCCATCTCTTTGCAAATCCCGTCTGAATGCACCTGTCTTCTCCCCATTACATGCCTCTCAGTTTCCTTCTCTCCCTGCTAGCTTTTATGGAACACTTAAATACATTTGAGGATATGCTTCTGTGAAGCAAATTACACAGGCGCATGCTACAAAACCAAGGACCCCATCCCTCACCCCTTACTCAACTCCCAAACTTCCCAGAATTCAAGGAGACTTTAATATTAACACCAAGGCACTTGCAATCAAGTTGCTTGAGTGGCACAACTTTTCTGGCCTTCTCTCTTGGAGTAGAGGGCCAACTGTCCCAGGGCAGGGTGCATAATAAGGAACTCTTCCATGGCTCCTACCATACATGGAAAGGAAATTAAGGGTTCTGGTAAACAAAGAATTAATTGTCACTGTGAGGCAGCTGGTGTCTCCCCCTCCACTCAGACACCTTGCTAAAGAGTCAGTGTAATCATGAGGTTTATAACCCAGTGTCATGTCATTAATTGTTGGCTGCTGCCTTGTTCCCCACTCAGCCCGGCTGCAGCATGAATCAAAGGCTGTCCCACAAAGACGCTACTGGAGCGGAGTGAGCAGGAGTCTGTGTAAGACTCCTATCCAGGTACTGTGAGAAGAACAGGCAGGCACAGTTTGACCCATGGTACCGATATGGCTTCCATTACCATGGTAGCTGTGCACCTCACAATCTACTGTGTGTGTATCCAGACCTCATACACCCCTTTTGGGGGGCAGGGCTATTATCTCCACTGTCCAGATGGGGAACTGAGGCACAGAGAGTCTGAGTGACTCACCCAAGGAGTCTGTGGCAAAGCAAGGATTGAACTCAGTTTTCCCAAGTCCTAGGGTAATGCCGTAACCACTGAGCCATCCTTCCTCTCCATAATATAGAATTCCATCTCAGGGTTCCGGTGATTTTGGCTTTGCTCTCATATCACCATCGCCTGATGCAAGGACAAACTCCCTGCTTCTCAGCTGCCTGTCTAGTCTGTGTGGAAGCAAGCCCCTAAATTGATAGAGCAGAGGACCATTACTAACATGAGGAAGCACTGGATGCCGTTGTAGGGCCAGTAAAAGAAGAGTGCAAAGTACAGGCTCAGTGCCAGGGCATATGCCCTCTCTCATCACAGCACCATGGTCTCCAAGAGGTGGGAATATACTCTGCCTTTGGAAACGGGAGATGGGATTACAGAACGCTACTGAATACGAAATGCAGCAGCCTTGTGCAGCTGGAAAGGAGGAGACAGACTGGCCTTGGGAGACGGATGGTGGTGGAGGTACCTGCTCCAGGATGAGGTCCTTTTTGGGTGGAACAGGCTCTGTCACTACGAGGTGACTCAGAAATCTCTGCATCTCCACCAGATTTGGCAACTGGTCAATGAGGACATCAGTCAGGAATGCACGGAGCTAAATCCAGAGAGGGAGAGAGGAGGGTGAAAGGAGAGAGATCAGAACAAGGCAAAGAAATAATCCACTGGTTAAAAAACAAGCTGCTGGAAAAGTGGCCAGGTGGCCACATGCCAGCTCAACAACGCCCCACTGAGCAGAGCACTAACTGCAAGAGAAAGAGTGTACAGAAGGGCTAACATCATCAAGGGCTAAAATCATCCGGATTCCATTGCTCAACATCAAGAGCAAAGCTGGGTATTAAGCAGTATCAAAAGCCTGCAGTACCTGGAACTGCAGGAAGTGCTGTGGGTGAGGACTGAGGGGCATTTTCCAGATTGTGTGGGGAGCTCAGGGCTGGAATAGCAGGGGGGGCTGTGTGTTGGGATTGAGGTGCATTGTCAGAGTTGTATGGGAGCCCAGGACTGGAAAAGCGGGAGGGGGGCTGGTGGGCTAGGACTGAGCTGCATTGGCAGAGCTATTTATGGGAAGTTTGTATAGCACGTGCCAGCATGGTGCATGGCTCTAGTGCTCTCAGACTTATCCTTCTACAGGCACTAAATCCATAAATGGCATAACTCTAATTAAAGCAATAAAACAAACCTCTCCACCTCAGCAAGCCACTTGTGAAATTCTCACTAAGGTGGTAGATTGGCGGCCCTATATCTCCACAGAAACTGCCGCAGCAGTCTGAGTTTCTCAACACACCCTGTCAATGGGTCTCAAACCTGGCCTGGAGAGACCATTCTAGGGTGAGTCTAGTCCCCATGGCCCTCTCTGTCCTTGGACTCTGCTGATCAACAAGATGCTAATTCATGCCAGTTGGTGGGGTATTTGCCTCTAAACTTGACTGGCATGAACAAAGAAGCCATCTTGGAACTGATGACATGGTATTTCCCAGCTTGTGATACAGGTTTCAACCAGGAAATGCTCACCTGGCACATTTTTAAAGTGAAGACAAGAGGGTATCTATACCTGCGGGAAGGTCCCTGTGCCTAGGCACCATGCTGGGTATATGTATGACTATGCACACTGAAGTCTTGTACCTTTAGGAGCTGGCTCTTGTTGAAACCATCCAAGTTGTATTTCCGCTGGCATTCTGGGCTCAGGAGGAGGTTATAGAGGGAGAGCCACACCTGTCCATCCAGCTTGGTCATCCTCACGTGGTCTTCAGGAGGCACAACATACCACGCTCCATTCTCAAACTTCTTTAGCTTGCCTGAGACACACAGCCAGTAAGACAGAGGGTGAGACTGAGACACCAGACAAAAGAGGGCCCTGTGGTTAGAGTGCCAGCAGGGACTCAGACCTTGGTTCAATTCTCTTCTCCAGCACAGACTGCCTGTGTGACCCTGGGCAAGTCAATTAGTCTCTCTGCACCTCAGTTTCCCTCTGTAAAGTGGGGCCAATAGCACTTCCCTACCTCACAGAGGTGTGTGAGAATAAACATATTAAAAGATTGTAAGATGCTCAGAGACAGATGATGGGGTCTAGATAAGGATCTAAGAGAGATGAACAGAGCCCATGGTTTTATCATCTGCGCATTCACTCAGGAATAGCAGTGCAGACAATGCTCAGGGCCAGGGTCCTTGTGGGAAGAGAAGAAACAGAAGAACTGATCGTGGGTCTGTGGCAAGAGCAAAAAAAGATGATGTGTAGCTTCTGGGAGCAGCTTGGACTCCTGGAGGAGATCGTGGCTGTGCTTCCCACACTTACCTGGCTTTCCTTGCCATTCCAGGGATGTGTTGTGTAGCTAGTGGTCCTGCCTACATAGGCCTTGCGACTAAATTAACCACCATGCTTATACTTGGCTGTGGCTGAATCCCTGCAATGCAAGTGTGGACTAGCCAGCCTGGTTCTGAACCAGGTTAGCTCTGCCCACACTGAGCTGATCCACTGTATCAGAACCCACTTTAAGGTGGCCTGGAAGCATGCTCGTTAAACAGTTTGGAACTCCATTTTGGATGGGGCCTCAGTGCACACAGCAGGGATGGGAAGAGGACAGTTGCCAGGGAGAAGTGGGCTGATAACCAGGTCTTTCTAAGTAGATCCTGTTGCTGCTCACAGGAGCATGGGATTCTCTGCAGGGCAGGATGGGGTGGGTGAAGGGGGCTCGCAGATACATTAGGGTTGTATTGTGCTCTTTTACTGCACTGGGGACATCAGCTTGGGAACTCTCAGATTTGGATGAGAGACAGCCACAAGCAGGGACCATTTTTGGAAGTGCAGCTCCTCAATCCCAGCCGAGCGGCGTCTGCTCAAGAGCTGAGCCAATGGGCACATACAGTCCCATGCAGGAAGTGATCCCATGTACATGGATGGGAGGGGAGGAAGATGGGAAGGCCAGATGGAAACCCATGTGAAAGATGGAGAGTGAGAACTGAATCTAGAAAGGAGCTTTCAGATATTTCTCACTATATGGGAGCCACCTACCAGATGAAGCTCCAGGTAAAAAGTGCTACCGCCCCATGGATGCACTAAGGTATGAGCGCATGATTCATACCTGCTTCGCAGCGGCTCCATGGACAATGCTCCAGGAGCTCTACCAGGAGGCAGGGCAAGTTGTGAGTGTTCAGCATCCGTGTCAGGGCACTCAATGGCAAACTGTAGAGAAACAAGAGAGGAACTAGTGAAAACACCTATTGTGAGCAGTACAAGATCAATTACAAATGGTCCCAAGGCTCTGGGAGAAGCAAGATGACAAAATAAAATAAATTACAGTCAGACCTGGGGCAAAATCCACACAAGCAGCCATTGAGAACAGCCTGATCCCACACCAGGATCCACACAACCAGTCACCAAGCATAACAGGATCTATACACCAGGGCACTAGTACCAGGGTCCACACAGCCAGTCACCAGGTGAAGCCAGATCCAGCCCCTTGTGCTAGGTTTGATACTTTCAGCTGCTAGGATTGATCTGCAAACCAAATGCCCAGCAAGATTCACTCTGAGGGCCAATCTGCACACTGAGTTCTCAGTGCCAGCTACTGAGAACATGAGGAAGCACACACCAGAGCTGCAGTGCCACGAACTGCACATCCAGCTACTACACACAGCGGGATCCAGACCCCAGGGCACTAGCGCCAGGACTGATGCTCCCAGTCCCTGAGAACAGGCGGACTGACACCCGCAGACCAGTGCAGTGACTTAAACAACCCCACCCCAGTTCCGAGGCTCATCTCTAGATTCTCCTGTGAGCCAGCTGCTTACCTGTCTACCTGATCAGTGATGAAACGGAGCACAGAAAGAGCCCTCAGGGAGATCTCAAACTCCATCATCTCTGCCTGCTTCTGTAATTCCTACGGGGGTGAAAACACAGACTCGTACAAGCACACCAAATATAGGGCTAGATTTTTTTCTGCAGAGTAACAAAGGAGGCAGCATATGAGCTGGCACTCAGTAGCCAAGGACTCATTAGGAAGCCCAAGCCACATAAAGCTGATTCCTTCCCCAAGATCAATGTAAACTGCAGTCACACAAACGCCTTTCAGTGACGGAGAGCTGAATGGTGTAAGCACTCCTGAAGATAGCAGCTAGTCCATGACATGAATGCACCAGGCTCCCCATATGAAGTACACCATAGGCTGCTGCTGGCTGTGTCACATATAGCCAGGTCGCAGTAGGGCAGATCATTTACCCAGTCCTGATGCTGAGCGCTCAAGGCCGGCCCAAGGAAGGAATAACTGCCCTGATCCACCATTTGAGAGATCCTAACATTAGCATGGCCCCACCTCCAGATACCCACCCCCGAATCCCTTCTGTAAACTCCAGCGTCATGATCCCACGTCTGGAGCCTCCCCAGGTTGAGTGGATGGATATAAACTGGCCATCAAGAAGTTTAGGCTTGAAATTAGGCAAAGGCTTCTAACCACCAGAGGAGTAAAGTTCTGGAACAGCATCCCATGAGGAGCAGTGGGGACAAAAACCCTAACTGGCTTCAAGACTGAGCTTGATAAGTTAATGGAGGGGATGGTACAATGAGGCTGCCTACAGTGGCATGTAGCCGATCTGCGACTGCTAGCAGCAAATATCTCCAATGGCGAGTGGTGGGACACTAGATGGAGAGGGCTATGAGTTACTACAGAGAATAATTTCCTGATGTCTGGCTGCTGGATCTTGCCCACATAACTGATCATCATATCTGGGATCAGGAAGGAATTTCCCCCCAGGTCAAATTGGCAGCGACCCGCGGGGGGTTTTGACTTCCTCTGCAGCATGGGTCACTTGCAGGTTTAAACTAGTGTAAATGGTGGATTCTCTGCAACTTGAAGTCTTTAAACCATGATTTGGGGACTTCAGTAATTCAGGCAGAGGTTAGAGGTCTAATAGAGGAGTGGGGAGGGGGCAAGGTTCTGTGGCCTGCAACGTGCAGGCGGTCAGACTAGATGATCATGATGGTTCCTTCGGGCATTCAAGTCTATGAATCTATGAGAGTCTGAGTCCATTGCATTAGGGGAATAGGGAGCTGAGTGATCAGGGCAGAGAGCTAGGTAGGATGACAGAGAATGCTGTGCTCTAAAGCAACTGCAATCCTAGCAATGGATATGACTTCATCTACCATCTCTATGCCCATGACTCACAGATCTACCTCTCCATTCAGGACTTGTCTCCTTGTGTCCAAACTAAACTCTCCACTGGTCTCTCTGACATCTCCATGTTGAGCTTAAGCTGATGGCTGGACACCAACATGACCAAAACAGAGCTCCTAATCTTTCTCACCCCATAAGCCTCCCTCCTTTCTCAGTTACTGTGGACACTGCCACCATCCTCCCTCAGGCCCAAATGCCGGTTGTCATCTTTGACTCAGCCCTCTCTCTCTAGGTCCTCACATCCAGGCTATGTCTAAACTTTGCTGATTCTTCCTTCCTAACACCTCTAAGATACAACTTTCCCTATCCACCCACACAACCAAAACTTTTGCCCAGACTCTCATCACCTTGCGTCTCGACTATGGCAACATCCTCTTCTGGCCTTGACAAATGCAACCTTGCCCTGCTATGCAGAAGCATTCTGACTGAAAAGATCATTTCTCTAGACCTCACTTTGACCACATCTCCTCTCTTTGAGTTCCTCCACTGGCTCCCCTTTCTCCACTGCAAACGGGAGATCAGACTAGATGATCACAATGGTCCATTCTGGTCTTAGAATCCTCGCAGGATAAGTGGTTTTCAATACTGCAATAGCTAAGACTGTCATTCTCCCTTGGGCCAACTCCAAGGATTAAGAAAAATGCCCAGTGGGGAAACACTTCCCTACTGTTCTCAGGAGTCCCATGACTTCCTCTCCAGCTTTGAAAGATGAGCATAAGTTCCGGCAGGAGGCCAAAGGGTGAATGCAATTCTGGAGACTACTGCTGAGGTTGCTGTGTCTCACTTTAAATCCATTTTACTAGAAGATTCTGATGTCCTGTTTACAGAAAAGAATTTTAAGAACTGAGGGAAAAAAAAAATCCCAGATGCACAATACTGTCTCACACCAAAATGAACTGAAAAAGCAACAAGCGATGGAGCAACAACAATGACACACCCAGACCTGGGAATGCTTCAGGAGGTTGGGTATGACCTTTTTCTCCTTAGGTCATTGGTTCAAAACTGGCCTAAGACTACAGAGACTGAGTTGTTACCATCTCGTGGCCTGTGTGAAATGAGTCTTAGGCCAGTTCCAAGTGGAAACCTAGAGAGATCTCAAAAAAATACCATTGCAATTAACCCTGACTGGTTCCCACACTCCTAGTCTTAGCAGAGAAGTCAAAAACACAATGGTTCATAGAAACTGAACTGCTCTCTTGCTCCTAGAGAGAATCTCATAAAGTCATGGTTGAAGCACACTTGTAGGACAGGGTGGGAAAACTAACACCGTCTCTGCTCATGATGAGCCACCTGTGAGAACAAATCACCAATCAAGAGACCTCCACTAACACCAAATTCATGTAGAGGAATGCCCAAGTAGAGTGGATTTATTCATCAGGTTCTGGATACAAGGGCCTTCATGACTATTACTATGGTCTTTCCCAGTCATGGAAATTTAACTTTCCTCCAAGTACAAGGTCAGACAGACCTGCTGGAAGTTGGAAACTTGCACTTTTAACCCACCTGCATTGATGATGCATTGGTCACATCCTCAGGCAGAAACTTTTCGTGGATTGGAAACTCCGAGTTGGTGCTCTGAGCTGCTAGCAGGGTCAGTTTCCGGTAGCTATAATCAATCAAGTCCAGAATGGTGTCCTCAGCGGATTCGCAGATCTCCTACATAACAAGAGGGCAGCAGAGAGCTATTTGAGAGGAGAAGGTATTCCCTTCAGAAAGATCATTTTTCTTCTGATGGCCTTCTGATTAGAAAACACCTCTCCAACTGCACCAATACCTGCAAACCTCAGTATCTCAGGGGACTGATTGAGATCCACCTTATGGCTTCAGGCTGAACATTATAGACATGGGTTGTTTGAGTTGCCTTAATTTCTGTATTTCCACACTCTCAGTTATCTGAGGTTTTATGCTTTATCTTTAAAGTGGCAGAACTGGGACTAGAACTCAGGGGGGCCTTGTCACAGGGTCAGGTCTATGCTCCAGCTTGTCACTAGTCTCCTGGGAGTGACAGCTTTAGCATGCCAGGCTACCAAGGATCCACACAATCCCACAGGGGAAGGTCTGTGACCTCCAAGCCTGGGCCTTTGGCACCAGCGTCCCTTGTCTCTCTCTGTGGCTCCCTGCAGTGAATCCAGCCAAGCCAGAGTCCTATGGGAGGCTGTACTTTAGCCCTTCAGGGTGCAATGCTCTCAGTATTTACAGTGACACAGGCAGCCTTTCAAAAACACGGTAACCATTTATTGGTCACCAGGAACATAGAATATGGAAGTCCTCAGGTTAGCACAGAGAAATGAAGGTTAAAGTATAGTCCATTCTGGTCAGTCCAGAGCCCCAGTCAAATTGTAGTGAATCCCATGCTCATGTTCAGTCTCTCCTCCACAGTCTGACCTCCTTGGTCAGTTTCCAGGTGAGAGTCCTGACTCCTTCCAGAAGCCAGCACTTTATCCCCCCACCTCACACCTTCCAGTCCTTTGTTACGGAGCTGGGGTCTGTGCCCAGATTCCCTGCTGTGAGGTGGGGAAATCCATCTCCCTCTAGGTTGCTGTTTGCTAGGTGTCAATGTCTGGTGCCTGGGCTTTTCACTGTCATCTCAGATTTTCTGTTGATATGGGGTCAGCCTCAGTCAGTCCTTTTTTTAATGACACATTTTTTAATGACCCATTAAACCTGGCTCAGACAGCTAGGTTACACACATCCACATAGCTCTCTTAACCGGCCCTGACAGCAGACTTAGTCCTTCTCCACTCCCCAGGTAGCCAGACAAAATATAGGGGAAACTGAGGCACACATAAGACTCATAAAAATACTACAGAAAACTCCCACTTCATCACAGGTCTGGAATCTACTCCCATGATCTGTCCACCACACCACTTGTCTCCTTATGTGCAAACTTAACTCTCCACTGGTCTCTCTGACATCTCCATGTTGGTGTCCAGCCATCAGCTTAAGCTCAACATGACCAAAACAGAGCTCCTAATCTTTCTCACCCCATAAGCCTCCCTCCCTCCCACCTTTCTCAGTTACTGTGGACACTGCCACCATCCTCCCTCAGGCCCAAATGCCGGTTGTCATCTTTGACTCAGCCCTCTCTCTCTAGGTCCTCACATCCAGGCTATGTCTAAATCTTGTTGATTCTTCCTTCCTAATACCTCTAAGATACAACTTTCCCTATCCACCCACACAACCAAAACTTTTGCCCAGACTCTCATCACCTTGCGTCTCGACTACGGCAACATCCTCTTCTGGCCTTGACAAATGCAACCTTGCCCTGCTATGCAGAAGCATTCTGACTGAAAAGATCATTTCTCTAGACCTCACTTTGACCACATCTCCTCTCTTTGAGTTCCTCCACTGGCTCCCCTTTCTCCACTGCAAACGGGAGATCAGACTAGATGATCACAATGGTCCATTCTGGTCTTAGAATCCTCGCAGGATAAGTGGTTTTCAATACTGCAATAGCTAAGGCTGTCATTCTCCCTTGGGCCAACTCCAACTGCCTCTCTAATTGCAACTTTTGGGAAAGGTTTGCCATGTTTCATATGCATGACCTGAAATCACATCTGGGATTTCCCCATTCTGGGGCCCTTGATTTAACACAGCAGAACTCATCTCTTACCTTGTGAAAAAACACTGTCTCCAGGAGGTTAATAATAGAAGCTTCATGGTGCAGCTGAGGGAATGTGGGGAGACAAAGCAAAGGTCAGAGGAACATCATCTACAGTGCCCATGGTAATATGCATCCAGCCTGTAACTGAGGTAGCCCCCAACACAGGTGCAGCCAAAAGTCCAGCCAATGAGGCAAATGCAACCCATGGAGTCCTTAGCCAGGCTCATCTTGAATACAGATACGTGTCCTGTAGAAACTACAGGTCCTGACTCCCAGCAAGCAATGCTCCATCATCATCTGAGAGCAGGCTGGAGCACTTCAAACTGGGAGCCAGAGTCTGAACCTTTGTATCACTGCAGTCTGCAAGTTTATCATGCAAATGATACTCTCTGGTTCCTGGCAGATGGCCAGTATGGCCCCTCTACTGGAGTAGTTTTCATGGCTTCACTAGAAGAATACTAGTGCACTAAGATACAGGTGTGTCTTTTGCTACTGAGATCAGTCCCACCACCAAAAGGGCCAGTGCAGAGGTTTCACTGAAATTCTTAAAGCAGCAAAGAGCCACCGCTTTCCAGTCACCCTGCGGGTCTCACAAGACATTTTTTGGTGGCCTCAGAGCGTGGACAATTTTTCGGTGGCCGCTCTGACAATTTTTCCTAAAATATTAATTAACTTTAGGAAAAACAAATAAATATGCATATATACATGTCCAAATCATTGTAATTTATTTATGTAGGTTTTTATTGCAGAATCAGTAATAAAAATAATGTAGTTGTTTCTATTCTTTAATAGACCTAAACAGAACAGAATCAAATAATGTGCTTTGCACGTTCCTGTTTTTGTTGTTGTTTCTTTTGCATTTTTGGTTGTTTTTTTTTTTTTTTAAGACTTGCTAGCTAGCAAGTCTATGTCTGTGAAAAGTGATATTTGTATGTTGGCAGGGGGAGCGGGGGGCCGCAAAGAAGTGTTAATAATCACTGCCCAGGAGGCTGTGGCTGCACAAAAAGCCCCGGTGGCCGCATGCGACCACGATGGCCGCATTTGAGAAACGCTAACCCAAGAGATCCCACCAGATGACAGGAGCTGTTGCTGTGAAGATGCCTGGAATCCTAAGAGCACATTAGCTGCATTACAGGTAGTGCGGGAGAAAGTTCTACACCTTCCTCTAAAACAGTGGTGGGCAACCTGCGGCCCATCAGGGTAATCCACTGGTGGGTCCCCAGACAATTTGTTTACATTTGCACTATCGCCCGCAGCTCCCAGCAGCTGCGGTTAGTCATTCCCGGCCAATGGAAGCTGTGGGAAGTGGTGGCCAGCACGTCCCTGAGGCCTGTGCAGCTTCCCACAGCTCCCATTGTCTGGGAATGGCAAACCACAGCCACTGGGAGCTGCAGGCAGCTGTGCAAATGTAAACAAACTGTCTGGGGGCCCAACAGCGAATTACCCTGACAGGCTGTGAGTGGCCCGCAGGCCACAGGTTGCCCACCACTGCTTTAAAATATCCATCTTTTGCTGCTATCAGAGCCAGAGTACTGGACTAGATATACTATTAGTGTCTATTGCTATGACAATTCCTAGGAGAGTGTCCCCTGATCCAGCATTAGCTAGTAGCCCTAGTTGAAGTGTCCAGGGCAGATAGGACTGTGGAAGTTCTTAGAATCCAAAGCACTTACTGGACTGTCCTTCCTTCACATACGTGCTGGTTGCAAACAGTGTGGAGTCCTGTCAATCAACAGCATGAACACCTGTGAGCGGTGCTAACTAAAAGGCAATGAAACTCAAAGCAGAAAAGAGGCTGTCTTTTAGAAGCAAGAAATTTGTAGTGCCATGTTAAATGGCCAGAATACCATACACGTTCAGTGCTTGAAAGAAATGTAAAATATCAGCCCTGAGAACTTTTGGTCATCCAAGATTCTATGGCTGTTTCTAAAGGGACAACAGTTACCCTAGTGTCCTGGCCAAAATCTAGGATAGGTGACTACATTCTGCTGGCTGTCAGAATTTCTATTGTAGTTTCAACTGGATAGGAGATCGTTCCTCATTTCCTGTCCTAAACTTAGGTAGTGTTGCTGTGTGTGCTGTTAAACAGCTGCAATGCTCCATCACGGGGGGAGGGGGCAGCATTTCAAAGGTGGGGGGAGTGATCCTTGTGAAAAGAAGTTCTTTGGGATCCTTGAGAAGGCCCTATGTAAATAAGGATAAGTTATTTTATCATTACACCATTGCCTAAAACCTCTTAGAATCACAGAATATCATGACCTCAGGAGTTCATCTAGTCCAACCCCCTGCTCAAAGCAGGACCAATCCCCAATTTTTGACCCAGATCCCTAAATGGCCCCCTCAAGGATTGAGCTCACAACCCTGGGTTTAGCAGGCCAATGCTCAAACCACTGAGCTATCCCTGCCCACCTGTCTTGCCTCTCTAGCCCTCGTGAGCAGTGACTGTCCCACAGAATTTGTGTTTCATAAGAGTTTTGCCTGTGAAAATGACTCACATGCAGCTACCATATTAAAAACCTTAATGGAATATGGACAAGGTGTCTTGTGAAGCATGCCTGTTGAAGCAGACGTACCATGCAGTGCTACTACCCTGCAGGACATTCCAGATCATGGCAATGTACTTGAATACTGTGCAAGTTTGTTCTCCAAGACCTCTCTGAACTCACCACCAAGTAGATGGGAAAGGTGCTTTTTGGCTTGAAGTCCTCCAGCTGGCACAGAACAGGGAACACCTTGTGCTTCCAGATCTCCACAGAGATCAATTCCTCGATGAGAGTAGGGATCTGGACAGAAGAATAGACCGTGGAAAGTGAAACCTTTCAGGCAAGAGAAAATGGACAGAGAAGCCTAGTGCCATATGAGTATTTTAGTCCTAGAGGAGAAGATGCTGGGACAAACGGCAGCTCTCCTTGTTGGCAGTTTTGTTGCACTGTTCATCTAGGTACTTTCATGTGCCTCATCATCGTATTATTTGCTTCATCCCATTGACAGTCATTTCTGAAATCATATTTGTCCCCATCTTTCCATTGGATGAGATGGGACAATATATCTGGTGCAGGTAAAGGAGGGAGGCAGAGTTCTGCTAGTCTATTTCCTAATACACCAGCAACATTTCCAAGTGACCAAACTCACCTCCAAGATAAGCTCCACTGACTTCAGAGTTACATCAGAGATAAGCGTAGCCCATGATCTCATGGACAGAAAGACTCACTTTGTTTAGCAACAGTCCCTCTCTGGTGTAACCAAACTTGCATTCAATGTTCAGTTCTGGGGTCCTTTGTACCCAAAATATAGACAAACTGGAGGGAGTACAGAGGACAGCAACAACTATGATTTGGGGGCTGAGGAGGGTTACTGGGAGGAGAGAATAAGAGCCAGAGATGTAACAAATTTAGGCTAGAAAATAAGGCACACATTTTTAACAATGGGCAGAACAATTTATCTAGGGATGTGGTTGATTCTCTGTCTTTGAAGTCTTTAACTCAAGCTTGGCTGTCTCATTCTCAAAAAATATGAGCTAGCTCAACCATGAGATATGGGTTTGATGCAGGAATCACTGGGTGCAACTCTATCGCCTACGTTATTCATAAGGTCAGACGAGATGATGAGAATGGTCCCTTCTGGCCTTAAAATCTATGAATCTATAATGTGGCTAAACGACTGAGGTCCAGCGTCACAGACAGGGCTGATAACATAGTATTGGAAGGGTACAGATGCCAAGTAGGGAGAGAATTTGATTAGGTTGGTACAACAGAGTGTATCTGAACAAAGGAAAATTTGGGCTCCATATCAGGACACATTCCCTGACAGTAAGGTGAATTAGGCTGTGGATGCATCTCCCCAAAGAAAGAGGCAGGAGCCCACTTGGACTAGGCACTGAAGGGGGCAAGGTTGCCTAGGCTTGGTTGGGGGAGAAGGGTGAATGGGGCCCTGCAGAGCTTTCCCTTTTTGTCTCATCCGCTGGATGCTCTCCCCATGGAGGAGGGTGCTCTTACTCCCGAGCTCCCTGCGGCCTACAGACTGCTCACCTTAGCATAGTTCACCAGCAGCTCAATCAGGAGCTGTTCCTGACCGGCAGAGGCGCTCAGAATCGCCTGTATGTTCAGCTTCTCAATGGCCTCGTGCTGCCGGAGCCATCTAGGGAGCAGGGGAGTCAGTGTCCACATCCCATGGCACACCTGGTACCCCAGCCCCTCTCCATGCCACCTTCCCCACTCAGAGACTAACCCCCAACCCAGGGAGATGCTTGCCCGGCTCTGAGGGACTCATCACATCCCCAAAGAGTTCCCTGGAACTGGAGGGCTTCTTCCTGCAATCAAAGGCCCACCCCCTAGATCCGATGGGGGCTCACCTTTGCCTGAGGATCAACCCCTCAAACCCACTGGGGACTCGCATCTGTCCCCAGTCCACACAAGCCCCCTTGACTCACTCCCCCTCACACCCCATGCCCCTCCTTAGCCCCCAGGCCCTCCACACACACTGCCCCCTCCCCACAAGTCCCCCTGAATCCCCCCGCCCCCCAACTCAACTGGGGACCCCCCTCTTTTACATCCCTCCCCCCCCGGGCACGCCACCCCGCCCATCTCTCCTGGGGGCCCCGCTCCACATCCCGCCCCCTTAACTTCCAGGGGACTCTCCCACACCCCGCCCCCACCTCTGCCGGGACCGCGCCCCCAAGCCCCTCTCCCTCTCCCCCCAGCCCGGCTTCGCGGGGCTCGCCCCGTCTCGGACCCCTGGTCCCCGGTGTTCCGCAGCGGGCCGCCCCGCAGCGCCTGCACCAGGGCCTCGGCCTCCCCCGGCAGCAGCAGCGCGGCCGCCTCCGCCATGGCCCCACGCCGTCACCATGGAAACCGACGGGGCGGGCGGGGGGAAAGCGGCCGCGAGAGCAGGGGCCCGCCCGGCACCGCCCCCTCCCGCCATCCTCTTCCGTCCCATTAGGAGCCCCTGGGCGGCCTGGCCGCCCGCCGCACCAGAGAGCCCCTGCACCATACCCTGGCTCTGCTCCCCCGCCAATGTGCACCAGTCCCTCCGCTCCACTGGAGAGGCCCTGTACTCCTGCACTGCTCCCCCCGAACCGAGTACCAGTGTCCCATTGCCCCAGCAAGGCCCTGTCATGTATCCCGGCACTGCTCCTCCACCAACAGGCACCAGTCCCCCCGCTGCACCAGAGAGACCGTGCCCCCATGCCCCAGCACTGCACCCATGCCACCAGGCACCAGACCCCCCACTGCACCAGGGAGACCGTGCCCCCATGCCCCACCACTGCACCCATGCCACCAGGCCCCAGACCGCCCACTGCACCAGAGAGAGCGTGCCCTGGCGCTGCACCCCCACCAATGGGCACCAGTCCCCCTGCTGCACTGGTCCTCCACCAACAGGAATCAGGGCCACCGCTGCACCAGAGAGGCCCTGTCCCTGTATCCTGGCACTGCTCCCTTGCCAATGTGCACCAGTCCCCTTGCTGCCCTGGAAAGGCCCTGCCCCCATATTGCTCCCACACAAATGGGCACCAGACAATACCAGGGGTGCAGGGTGCTCTTGGGGGAGAGATGAAGAGCAGGCACTGCCTCTTGGTACAGACGCAAGCAATATTTTTAAAGTTCTGGCCCTGTTAGTTTGCAATTTACTGTACATACACACACACGTGCACACACTTCGTGCTGGGTTGTTACACTCTGTTGTGCCTGCCCAGTGAGGGACTGGCCTGGTTCATTTCCCGCTCTGGTTCCCCTGTCCCAGCCCAGGGCTCCTGCATTCGAGGCCCCAACACTGCACAGGAATGTTAGGAACCATTAAAGTACTTGTGTGTTGATTAAAGAATTTGACCATAATTAACAACTGAATCGTGAGCCCCTCCCGATTTTTTGGCTCTCTCCCCAACACAGATAGGCTGGGTGGCTCACTGAGGCGAGTTGGGGGGGTGGAGGTGGCATTCCCTCCCCGAGTCCCTTGGCGTTGCCAGCCTGAGCCACCCCTGGGGCTTTTTGGCCTGGGCAGCTGCCCCCACTCACCCCACCCCAGTTACAGCCCTGTCCTCGGGTAGTTTCAGTCAGCTTCTGGCCCCTTGGGGGGTTGGGTCCTGCTCAGCACTCACCTCACAGTGGCGGCTCCTGCAGCTCCTGCGCTGTGGGGCTGCCTGGGCCTGACTCTACTCCAGGTGCTGCAACCTCTGGGGTTGCAGAACTGCTCAGGTTTGGCCCTGCCCCCTGACTGGACCAGATTTGTGAGAGTGGAGTTGTGGAGTGGGGTTGTGGTGCCATTCACTCAAATTTGGCCTCCCCGGGCTCCTGTTATCATGACGGCTCCAGAGGTTGCAATGCCTGGAGCAAGGAGACAAGCCCAGCCCACAACATGGGACAGGAGTTGCCATGCCACCCTTTGAAGCATTCTCGTGACCCAGTTTTGGGGCCCAACCCACAGGTTGGGAAGCTCTGCATTCGACAATGGAGGGTTAACCATTTCCCCTCCTACACACTGCCCCATAACCAAAGCCAGACTAGTTCTAAGCGATGACCTTTTAGTCCCATTAGAACACCAGCTCCCACCCCCAGTTTCCATCCTCCACGAAGCTGGAAATTCACCAAAACTTCAAAATGCAATTTGAACAGTTTTATTATGATTCACTCACTCAGCCCCCAACCTCCCTTTACCTAACCTGGCTACTCCACTCCTACAGCACCCTCTGCTGCTAGATCCACAGAACAGAAAGAATAGGTGTTTCATTCCCAGCTTTCAGAGTAACCGCCGTGTTAGTCTGTATTCGCAAAAAGAAAAGGAGTACTTGTGGCACCTTAGAGACTAACCAATTTATTTGAGCATGAGCTTTCGTGAGCCACAGCTCACTTCAATCCTGGGAGGCTGGAGAAGAAATAGATGGGGCAAAATTATCAGTGCTTCTGAGAATAGAAAGGAAACCAGCCCCCTTCCCTTTTAATACAATGACTCAAGTGTTCCACATGTTCTATGTGCAGCAAGTGGACACCCTCCAACAATCCCCGATAGAGCGATGACAGTTTTTCTATGTGACCTAGACTGGCAGCAAGAAGGCCGGCACAGACACCGTGGAACCAATCATTTCAACAGCACATGGCAAAAAGCAACTGGCCAGCACGCACTGTTTGCTTTGCACTGAGACGTGGGACCTATGCTTTGCCCTCGTGCAGGAATGCAAAGACATCCGACCCGAGTTCAATCTCTTTCTCCAAGCAGCGTTAGTCTGACATACGCAACACACTCTCCACTAGAGGAGCCAAGTCACTTGAAAGAGCCACAGTCGGGGGTCTCAGATCCATCTCCGAGATGTGGACAGCTCAGCCATCCTTTTCCAGTGTTCTTTTCTCCGAGGTGCTGCTGGTACTTCCCCAAGAGAGATTCACTTCCAGCAAACAATGATGTTGGGATCATTCTCCAGTCTCTCATCCAGCTCTCGGTAGCTCATGCCTGAGGAAGAAGTAAAGAACAACATCTCTGGCACTAACGTGAGTCCACCCTGCCAACCAAAGTCCCTGTTATTGCTGATGGGGGGAAAGGCAGGCAGAGGGGTGACAAGTCAAGACTAGAATGCCTGATTATGTTGCGTTGAGTCCTCAACTCTCATGCTCCAGCCACTGGGTCTTGGTTTGAGCTGAAGAATGGCCAACAGTGAATGCACAGATTCTGGATTTTGTGTCTCCCAGCTTGCTCACTGGAAAAGTAGCTCTAAAACAGAGACCCAGACCAGCCAGATACCACGGTTTGATCCTGGCTATCTCGGCAATTACCATTTCAGTGCTGATGGCCATGTCTGACAAAAGGAAGACTCAATGTAGACTGGCCCTGTGCCAGCTTTCCCCTTTGCCAACCTCTCTCAATCCTCATCTCTGACACCCCCACCTATTGCAATCTTGCCCACAAAACTCCTCACCTCTGACGCCCATTTCAGTTTTAACCCTTTCCAGAGAACATCCTCCCTCGCTGGTACAGCCAGTGATCTCAATGGCTCATGCATCGCTCCCCCTCACCTTTAACTTCCCTATGCCAACCCTTCTCTTAGGCTGTTCCTGAGCAGACACTCCAGTGCCCCAAACAGTCCAGCGGTTGAGATATGGACAGCTATTCCTTCAGTGGGGATCTAATTGAGACCACTAAGTTCGTGCCAGGTGTGGGGCGTACCAATTTTAAATCCAAATCTCCAGAGGACAAAAGGTTAATCCGATACCCTTCTGAGGCGCTCAGCTCTCAAATCCCCTCTTACAGCCAGCTCCCTCTCCAAAACACACCTTTCCATTAAGCCTTTCAGCAATCGCCACGAGATTCCTTCCGCATCTCTCTCTAGCACACGGCTGAACTGTTTGTTCCGCATCTGTTCTAGACTTTAGGCTTCTATGACCTGCAGGGACCCTACTGTGAACATTCCAATATTTTGCAGTCTAAACAGGATTCAAGAAAGGGCCAGGAAAAAAAAAAATCAAATGGGTTCTGCTGAAAGGGTCTCCTGAGACGGAACCTCTTCTGGGGCCATGAGTTCCCACTGTTAGGGCCCTGCACGGACGGAAAATGGCTCTCAGCTAGGTTTGTTACAAGGTGAAGTTGGGCAACGTCTGCAAGTTATTTCATTTGATCAAGTGGGTTTGTCTGGTGCCTTGCAACTCCTGCATATTGTTGCAACTCATCCAAATTGCAAGAACAAAATCCCTCCCACAGCAGTACAGAGCCGAATACAATGACTACAGCTCATAGGTGCTTCTGCAGTGCAAATCACAGAGTACCAAATGTTACGGACCTTGAATTAACACCCCCGCCCACTGCCGAGCCATGCTTGGTCTCTTCCCTCTCACTCGCACACAAAGCTGGGTTCCTGTACCTGTTTTACAGCAGATCTCATCATAGCTGTGGCAGCCTGTGTACAGCCGGGCTGGGTGACTTTTCTCATCCCGCACTATCTTCACAGGATACTTCTGGAGCCGCCGGATGAGGCCCTTCATCAAACCAAACTGGATAAGCTTCCTGAGAGAAGAAGGAATTGCTCTCAGAAGGGCTGCCATCCCAGGAAACCCAGAGTTGGAAGGGTGTGTTCACCTGCCACATGGTCTCAAATGCCAGCGGGGCTCAGCTCCAACCCAGCCTCTCCTCCCACCTCCTCGAGCAAAGTCAGAATGCTGAGCAGGTGACCTACCAGCATGTTTGGAGGTTACATAGAGTATCAGGGTTGGAAGGGACCTCAGGAGGTCATCTTGTCCAACCCCCTGCTCAAAGCAGGACCAATCCCCAACTAAATCATCCCAGCCAGGGCTTTGTCAAGCCTGGGCTTACAAATATCTAAGGAAGGAGATTCCACCACCTCCCTAGGTAATGCATTCCAGTGTTTCACCTAGTGAAAAAGTTTTTCCTAATATCCAACCTAAACCTCCCCCACTGCAACTTGAGACCATTACTCCTTGTTCTGTCATCAGCTACCACTGAGAACAGTCTAGATCCATCCTCTTTGGAACCCCCTTTCAGGTAGTTGAAAGCAGCTATCAAATCCCCCCTCATTCTTCTCTTCCACAGACTAAACAACCCCAGTTCCCTCAGCCTCTCCTCATAACTCATGTGTTCCAGTCCCCTAATCATTTTTGTTGCCCTCCGCTGGACGCTTTCCCATTTTTCCACATCCTTCTTGTAGTGTGAGGCCCAAAACTGGACACAGTACTCCAGATGAGGCCTCACCAGTGTCGAATAGAGGGGAATGATCACGTCCCTCAATCTGCTGGCAATGCCCCTACATATACAGCCCAAAATGCCGTTAGCCTTCTTGGTAGAAAGGGCACACTGTTGACTCATATTCAGCTTCTCGTCCACTGTAACCCCTAGGTCCTTTTCTGCAGAACTGCTGCCTAGCCATTCGGTCCCTAGTCTGTAGCGGTGCATGGGAGTCTTCCGTCCTAAGTGCAGGACTCTGCACTTGTCCTTGTTGAACCTCATCAGATTTCTTTTGGCCCAATCCTCTAATTTGTCTAGGTCCCTCTGTATCCTATCCCTACCCTCCAGCGTATCTACCTCTCCTCCCAGTTTAGTGTCATCTGCAAACTTGCTGAGGGTGCAATCCACGCCATCCTCCAGATCATTTATGAAGATACTGAACAAAACCAGCCCACACCAATGGGGAGGACTTCACTTTCTGCTGGCCCAGCAGCTCTAACTGCTGGGTCATGGAGTGAACTATAATCTCAGTACAATTCTGAAAAAGGAAGGCGCTAGAGCATGAAACAATCAGGAGACCTGGGCTCCGCTCCTGCCTCTGCTGCTGCTTCACTGTGAGAGCCTGGGTAAGTCACTGGGCTGATGTGCCTCAGTTTCCCCACCTGTAAAGTTGGGTAAATGATACTGAGGGGTACACTCTAAGCCAGCTCTGCTAACTAGCCATGGGCTTCCCACATCACTGAGCCATTGGCATTCATCTGCGCTTTCACTGGCACACAGCGATGTCATGGCCTCATCCTCAGAGCTTCCTTCGGAAAGGGGATGCAGCCTCAGACCTTTCATCCACTCTCTGGAGCTGCAGGGTGTAGCGGCAGATGAGGTCTCGCACCGTCGTGCCGGGGCTCAGCCCGCAGTAGAGCTGGAAGACGTCTCTCAGACTGGCTCGCTTATGACCTGTGGGGAAGAGACACACCCTGAAGTGACAAAACGGGGGATAGAGCTAAGGAGGAGAATGTCCTGGAGATTAACAGGGCCTGCCCAATCCCTGCGGGGGGGGGGGGGGGGGGGGTCTCACTACCATCCCCAAGTTAAATGGTGGTGGAACAGTGTCAACACAGAAATATGGAGCTGCCTTTGTGTGCTCCGCATGTCATGCAGCTGGAATATTGCACCCATCTGAAGGGGGGGAACATTGGTCAGGACATACAGCTTATCCTAGACTCTGAGATTGTGACATTCTACCAGGACATGTGGGACTTTACAAGACCCCAGGTTAGCATCTCAGCTGAAGGATGATGTCACCTAAAGTGTGAGTATCAGGACCAAGTCCTGCAATGGGACACATCATCCTCGCCTGGAGAAGTGCTCCCAACGCGGCTTCGCTCTTACCAAGCTCATAGGAATGGCCAGACTGGATCAGAGCCAAGGTCCATTCAGCCCAACCACCTGTCTCTGACAGCAGCCAGCACCAGCTGAGTCAGAGAGAGATGTAAACACTCTGCAGTAGTTGATTTGGGATCATGTGAGGGGCAGATTAAATATCATCCTGGTCTCTAATAGTTAAAGTTGTCTTAACACCTGAAGCACAGGGTTTAATATCCCTTCTAACCGTGTTATCATAGTTAATTATGGTAACTGACTATTCTTGCCGTCCATATAATTATTCAATCCCTTTTTAAATTCTGTTAAATTCTTGGCCTCCACAACATCCCGTGGCAGTGAATTCCACCATATAATTACACACAGTGGGAAAATGTATTTCTTTTCTGAATTTGCCACCTTTTAATTTTATTTGACGTCCTCTTGTTCTTGTGTTAGGACACAGGGGAGAATAGAAACTCCTCACCTCCCTTCTCTAGGCCATTTGTTATTCTATAGACTTCTATCGCGTCCCTCTTCGTCATCTCCTTTCTAAGGTGATGACCCCCCAGTTTTTCTATTCTCACTCTTCTCTGAACCCCTCTGATTCTGCAATATCCTTTTGGAGCAGGGGTGGCCAGAACTATATAACCACTTCAAATGAGGCTTTACCACTGATTTATATAAAGACTTTAGAATAGTCTATTATTCTCCACCCTATTCCTTATTCCTCCAACCATCTGGTTTGCTTTTTTAACTGCAGCTGCCCACTGAGTAGAAGTCTCCATTGATCTGTCTACAATGATGCCCAGGTCCCTTCCTTGAACTGATATAGTTGACTTAGAACCCTGGCAGGCATGGAAGTAGTTAACGTTTTCCCTTCCACTGTGCATTACTCTGCATTTATCAACGCTCAGTTTCATTTACCATTGTGATGCCCACTCACCTCGCTTGGTTAGGTCTCTCTGAAGTTCTTCCCAGCCATCCCTTACCTTGACTAACCTAAATAACTTTGTGGCATCTACAACTTTTGCTGCCTCAATACTCAACCCCTTTGTCAGATCATTAACACATTAACACAGGACCTAGTACACAAACTTGAAGGCCCCGCTACCAGCCTTTTGCCATGAGCAAACTCAAGGGAGAAAGAGCCAGTGCTGAACTGTTGGTTTCCCAGTCCCTAGCAAATCTCTGGAGGAATCAGAAGGCCGTGACGGCATATCCTGGGCCAGCACAATCTTACCATATCTAACTCAGTTCAGGCCTGCTATACCTTGCTTGGTGACATAAGAGAGACATTCTTCTTGGAGGCATTTATCATCCACCAGATCCTGGACTTTAGGTGTGGTACAGTATACATTTGAGTACTGATAAGGAAAGAGAGAGAGAGATGAAATTCCTATTAACCAGAGGCTGCAGAGTTTTAGCTCTGGGCCTAGGATTTAAGCCAAACAACACTAGAGACTCCAAGACAAACAATTTGGTGGAGCCAGCCAAGGAGAAGAACCTGCAGCACACCACCACAGAGCAGCGTAACTGGCACGTGAACCAAAGCACTGTGCTGTCCTGGAAGAATTACCCTCTTCTGCAACTGCATGTCAGAAGCCCAAGATTCTTCCCCTTTCTAAATCTGGCATCGTGAGCCAGTGATTCTGCTCGACCGAATTCTACAGCCACTGCTGCGCCAGGCCTACAGTTCTGCTTATACCCATGTGCGTGTTAGAGCAGATGCGTCCTGTATGCAGCCCTCTCTGCAACAGTACCAGGAACCAGGTGCTATTAAAAGAATATGGGGAAAAACATAGCAGGTCCCATGCATTCAGATGGCCCAGCTCCAGTCATACCACCAAGGACAACAGCAGAGCTGCAGGTCAGTACTAAAGCTTTACAACCCTATTGCAGTTCTTAGTACCAGCCTAGCACTCCCATACTGGTTTTGTCCTAGGTCTTCTCCCAAGAAGGGGCTGTCTGTCCACTAGTGAGGTAGTTTTGTGCTGTGCCTAATATGGGGCCAGCAGACTCCTTCCAAGAGAGACCAGAGCTCCAGAGGTGAAAGGTCACAAGTGCCAGGCTAATAATGGGCTGGAATCTTTTGCTCCTAGCCATACGCACCTGAAGTATGGAGACCAGAGTCACCACCCCATAGTATCTGCAAGACAGACAATGAAACATTAGAAATCACCGATTATAGATTCAAACACCAGCCTCTTCCCTAGTGAAGGCACAGGTTTTATTACTCTCCACTAGCTGCAGGCTGGGTTTTCTGTAGTGCTCCCTCTACAGGGAACTCTGCAGGGAATTTCTTCTAAATTCAGAATCCCATGTGTCAAGGGGATCGGGATGCAGGGCTAAAGTCAGAACTGGGGGCGAGAAGGGTGGGTATATGGATCTGTGTGAGTGTTCTGATCAGGGACCCTTCTCCTTCCCGATGCCCTAGGTCTTCGCACTTACAGCAGGTTCTGGATAGCAATTCGCACCAAATTGAGCTCCACGTCAGCTTCAGCAGAGATTTTCTGGATGTGTCGAAATCCATCAATGTATGGCAGGATCTAAGGAGGCAGCACGTGAGAGTGATCAGACCAAAGAGTGGAACATCTGCACGAGAAACCCCCTATAGAGACATCAAGGGGAGCGTGCGTGAGGGAAATCTAGTGTGTTTTCAGATTGATAATGACAGGTTTCAGAGTTGCAGCCGTGTTAGTCTGTATCCGCAAAAAGAAAAGGAGTACTTGTGGCACCTCAGAGACTAACAAATTTATCTGAGCATAAGCTTATGCTCAAATAAATTTGTTAGTCTTTAAAGTGCCACAAGTACTCCTTTTCTTTTTGCAGATTGATAAGGTAATCTATGACCACAAACAATTAAATGACTCAATCATCATTGCATGGTTATTGCATGTGGTCACTATGGGGCAGAGTTATGGTTGTTTAGGTACCTTACCTGTGCATTAGTTACACTGATATGTTTGGATTTCTCTTGAGTTAACCTTAGCTCTATGTTTCCTGTGTTTATAACGTTTGGTCTGAGGAAAGTCACAACATCCCTGCAATGTTTTTTACCCATAAGTGACCGATACATACTCTCAATGGTATCTCTGTCTTAAGGTAGCTTTTTTAACATGAGACAGTGATATGGTTCTGTGCACCAGACACGTGCACTTCTAACATCCAAGAACTCTTGTATCCAACTTCAAAATCACATTTACTGGGAAGAGCAAATTATATCATTATAGAACTGAACAAAAAAGGCACAGGCCACCTTGGGCCAGATTTTCCAGTAAACGTGGTCCATGCACAAAGGGTCAATGAGACCATCAGAAGAGATTTAACATGGACACTAGATACCGTGCTTTCATAAACATACAGCTAAGGGTAGCATAACATCCCTCCTTTACCTGTAAAGGGTTAATCAATCATAGAATATCAGGGTTGGAAGGGACCTCAGTAGGTCATCTAGTCCAACCCCCTGCTCAAAGCAGGACCAATCCCCAATTTTTGTCCCAGATCCCTAAACGGCCCCCTCAAGGATTGAACTCACAACCCTGGGTTTAGCAGGCCAATGCTCAAACCACTGAGCTATCCCTCCCCATTAACCTAGTTTCAGAGTAGCAGCAGTGTTAGTCTGTATTTGCAAAAAGAAAAAGGAGTACTTGTGGCACCTTAGAGACTAATCAATTTATTTGAGCATAAGCTACGAAAACTTATGCTCAAATAAATTTGTTAGTCTCTAAGGTGCCACAAGTACTCCTTTTCTTCTTCCTATTAACCTAGTTGGCACCTGACCAGAAGGACCAATTGGGAGGTAAGATACTTTCAAATGGGGGGGGGCAGGGAGGCGGAGGTTTTTGTTTGTGCTTTTGTTGTTCTCTACCGAGACAAAGAGAGACCAAGCAAGTAATCCAACTCCTACTGAATGATACATCTAAAATTACAGAAATAGTAAGTAATAGCAAGGAAATGTGTTAGATTATCTTTTGTTTTAGCTTGTGAATTTCCCCTAGGCTAAGAAGGAGGTTTATTCCTGGGGCTTTTTTTTTTTGTTTGTTTTTTTGTAACTTTAAAGTTTTGCCTAGAGGGGAATCCTCTGTGTTTTGAATCTGATTACCCTGTAAAGTTACCTTCCATCCTGATTTTACAGAGGTGCGTTTTTACTTTTTCTTTATAATAAAGTTCTGCTTTTAAGAACCTGATTGGTTTTTAGTGTCCTAAAAACCCAAGAGGCTGGTCTGTGCTCCCCTTGTTTACTCTCAAGCCTCCCCAGGAACAGTCAGGGGAAGGGACTTGGGGTGATATTTTGGGGAAACAGGAACTCCAAGTGGTCCTTTTCCTAAATCTTTGTCAAACTCACTTGGTTGTGGCAGCGATATCGTTCCAAAGACAAGGAAGAATTTGTGCCTTGGGGAAACTTTTAACCTAAGCTGGTAGAAATAAGCTTAGGGGGACTTTCATGCAGGTCCCAACATCTGTACCTTAGAGTTCAGAGTGGGGAGGGAACCCTGATACGTGCTGAATAAGAATACAGGACAACCTCACTATAAACACATGCACCTCTGTATTCCATCCCTGTTTGGAAGTGTCTGCAACTGGAGAGCAGAGTTCCATGCTATTTAACACTTTGTTAACCAGCCCTAGTCACTGGATGGACACTTCCCCATAAAGGACATCTTTGCTTGATTTGGACAGCGTTAGCAACAGTCGGTGCCATTTATCACATGTTCACTGGGAATGGTTCAGCACAGGCATACCACTGCAATCAGTAAAGTCTTCTCCACAAAAGGGATCAAGCTCCCCAGTCCTAGGACCCTGGGAAGGCCGGGCTGCTACCCAATAGCATTCTCCTTCCTCTTGTCTCCCAAGCAAGGGATTTATAGCCCCAGAAAAGGGCTACGGGTTGCTGAACTGTGGTAACCCCTTGCTCACTGGGCACCAGGTAGTGCAACAGCCCTGTCACATCTCCATTCAGCTAATGGAGTCGCTGGGATGGGAGATGACCCCATTAGAATGTCCCCCCTGCTTAGCCCCGCCCAGATGAAGCAGACAGACCTGCTGAGTGGTGAGATCCCACTGGGCATTGAAAAAATCATCCTTGTCCAGGGTGAAGACAGGCACATCGTACTCTTGCACAATCGGAGGGTCTGGCCGCTGCTCGATCACTTTCAGGTGAATGGTGTTCGATTCATCTAGGGAGGAGGAGATGAAAGCACTCAGTTTTGCTAGGAAACACCTGCTGTGTCTCTCAACTTTCCCAACCAAAATCAGCCCTGCTGTAACAGTGCAATGGGAACTGCACCCGCTGCTGACATCACGGCAAGATTTGACCCTCAGATGCCAACCTCCCCTTCCATCCTCTGTGCAAGACTCTGTTACAGCAATCTGGTCCAGCAGTTCTCAAACTTTTGTACTGGTGACCCCTTTCACATAGCAAGCCTCTGAGTGTGACCCCCCCTTATAAATTAAAAACACTTTTTTATATATTTAACACCATTATAAATGCTGGATGCAAAGCAGGATTTGGAGTGGAGGTGGACAGCTTGCGACTTCCCATGTAATAACCTTGTGACCCCCTGAGGGGTCCAGATCCCCAGTTTGAGAACCCCTGATCTGGTCAGTATAGAGCAGCTGCCCTTTTCTTCCCAGCAGTAGCCAATTCCGCTGTAATCACAGCCCATTAGCACTCCAGGGATGGCAGAGGCAATAAGGGAGCAGTGCACTCCCGCAGTGCATCTAACTCCCTTCTTTCCCCTGTGCTCCTCCCCCATGAAGGTCACACAAGCTACACTTCAAATACCCCAAAACAAAACAGCACAAGGGTGGGGTACAGGTGGAGCTGCAAGTCGGACCCTCCACCCCCAAACTACAAACACAATATCAGGCAGCTCCTCTGCCTCAGACAGGATCCCCTAGTGGGGTGATGCTAAGGGACTCATTGTGAAGCTGGGAAGGGACAGAGAAAGAGACTACATTGCAGCTGGATGTCCAGCGAACCTACCTATTGGCAAGGTACATTTCCCAGTGGCGTTGAGTTCCTCCAGGAGGATGGTCATTATTGGCACCAGCTTTTGTTTACTCTCTTCATTGGAGATGAAGCCACTTTCCAGCTAGGAGAGAACAGGGTCAGTGTCATTGCCTCTCAATAGCAGCAAGCCACCTCGCATCTCTCTATAAAGCTGCCATGGAGCTGTTATGCAGGCAATACGATAAGGAAACCCCACTGGTATTTTTTCCTTTGTTCTTTTCTTACTTATAGTTTGATCCTGGAAACCTGTCACTCACCTAATTAATGACAAATCTCCCCTTTAAACCATGATGTGTTATACAGGATCAAGTGGTGAAATCCTGGCTCCAGTGAAGTCTCAAACTCCCATCGACTTCAATGGATTTCATCTAAGGAATTATTTTTTAGGGCCGTAAGCAAGCACAGAGGCCTGAAAGGATGTTTTTAACTTGAGAAATATTAAGAGTATCATGACAAGGAGAAATGGTCAGTGCTTTGGAGTACAAATAGTCTGCTTGAATGATGTCTTTCTCCTCTTCAGAAAAGATGCCAAACTCATTCAGAGCACCCACGTAATCTGGATTCATTTTGAGGGCATACATGAAGAGTTTATGGGCTTTCTCACGCTTCCCCTGCCGTTTCATTTCAAGGGCTTGATTCAAAGCTGCTTTGGCTTCTAATTTGATTTCTGGGGAGGGTTTGGATTTCAGCACCAGCAGCTCTAATCCACTTGAAGTCACGCTGAGTCCAGTTGTCTGCCCTGTGTGCCTGGTAATCCCTACATAGCCTACTCCCAATTTAGTTTTCAGGAAGGAGAGTCCTTTGAGCACTGCCTGACACTGCTCTTCTACCGCAGCCAGTGGTTTTCCATGGCTTTGTTGGCAGATCTGTGGGAATGATCAGGGATGTTTACCATGGGCTGTTAATACCTTACTTGAAAGTGTAAGCTTCTATTCAAAGTGTTGCTAAGGAAGAAACAACACAATTGCGTCCCTTGATCCTAAACAACACACATCCTCACCTGAACTACAAGCTTCCCTATACAGTCACTATGGTCACGTGCATGATTCTCAAAGTGCATAGTTTATACCATTTACTGTTAAAAAGGAAATTTTAAATTAATGAACTCATACTTAATAGAAACAAACCACCCCCATATTATTTATTATCAATCACTGAAACTGGCTAACTTAAAATAGTCTTATTTCTAACAAAAAGTGGCTGGAGTTTCTCCATTATGAGAACTCAGTTTCCCAGGAAATGGACCAGAGAAAATAGTGAGAAAGACACTACCTGACATTTCAATTTGTTTAAACAAACAAACAAAAAGTGAATGGGCGTTGCATTATGTGCTTTTTAATTAACCATTGGAACAGTTTACCAAGGCTGGCAGTGGATTCTCCCTGTTTTTAAATCAATGTTGTCTGTTTTTCTAAAAGCTCTACCCTAGGAAGTTCTCTGGCCTGTGTTATACAGGAGGTCAGACTAGATGATTACAGCAATCCATTCTGGCTTGGAATCTATGAACAACAATAAGGCCTTGCCTACACTGCCACTTTACAGCGCTACAACTTTCTCGCTCAGGGGTGTGAAAAAAAACACACACCCCTGAGCGCTGCAAGTTACAGCGCTGTAAAGCTAGTGTAGACAGTGCACCAGCACTGGCAGCTACTCCCCTCGTGGGGGCGGTATTTTTACAGTGCTGGGAGAGCTCTCTCCCAGTGCTGGTGCCGCAACTACACAGTCACGTTAAAGTGCTGCCATGGCAGCACTTTAACGCTGCTAGTGAAAACACACCCTAAAGTGCACCCATGCACACACAATGGGGAAGAGTTGGGGTTACAGACACACAACCCTGACTATAAAAACACTTAACAGCACAACCACAGCATTCTCTTAACATGTTTTTATATGTAATCACGTAAAAAAGTGGGAATTTGCTGTAATATTTTTATGAGCCCATGTGTGCCTCAGTTTCCCCTATAAAAACAACAAGGAGTCCGGTGGCACCTTAAAGACTAACAGATTTTTTTGGGCATAAGCTTTCGTGGGTAAAAAACTACTTCTTCAGATGCATGGAGTGAAAATTACAGATGCAGGCATTATATACTGACACATGAAGAGCAGGGAGTTACCTCACAAGTCAGTCAGTATATAATGCCTGCATCTGTAATTTTCACTCCATGCATCTGAAGAAGTAGTTTTTTACCCACAAAAGCTTATGCCCAAAAAAATCTGTTAGTCTTTAAGGTGCCACCGGATTCCTTGTTGTTTTTGTGGATACAGACTAACACGGCTACCCCGATTCTAGTTTCCCCTACGTTTTGCATGGTTACCCAATGTGGGGAAAAAGGACTATTTGCTCTCAGGGCAGGCTGGGAGACACAGGTATGAATGTGGCCTAGCTGTCTGAGCATGAATGGGTCATTGGAAAAGGACTGGCTGACACCAGCCCCATATCAATGGGAAATCTGAGATGAGTAGAAAACCTAGTCACCAGGACACTGACATGTAGCAACCAACGATCCTGAGGGAGATGGATTTCCCCACCTCACAGCAGGGAAGCTGAGCAGAGACTCCCAGCTCGATAACAAAGGACTGGGAAGGTTCAATCTAAATAGACGATCAGACCGCGTGGCCTACCCTGTGTAGGTAGGACAAGACCTCTTGGAGGTCTGGCACATCAAAGGGGTTTCTCCTAGAGATTGTTCTAAAGCTGGAGGGGTGGGGGGACATAGCACCAAACCTGTGGATCCGCATTAGGTATTGAACGGGTGCATCATTGCCACATCTGACCTCTAAGGTAGTGAGATAGCCAGCCAGTTTCTTCACAATGGGTTCCAATGCACAAGTCTTGGCTCTAGCATCACAAACAAAGCCCAGATTGAAGAGCAGAGCGTTCCGGCTGTATTTTTTGTGCTCGATACAAACCGGGCAGCCAATCAGCTTCTTCTCCATAGCAGTCCTATCAAAGAAAAACAGGCACAAGCCGTCAACTGCGATTGTTCTGGAAGCACTGGTCAGAACTCCATAGTGAAGGATTTTTCTTTTAAAATAGACACTCCTTTGCTTTGTATGAAAAATACAACGGATCCTCCCCAAACTTACAGCCCTTACTCGGAGCCCAGAATGAACTTTCTGAGAATTTAGAAATAAACGCGTTCATCAGTTTACGAGTGAGAGTCATTTAAGAAATTTAGCATCTGTGCCAGGCTTTGTCCTGAATTCTCTTAACAGAAAAACGCAGATTCTTCAAAGTTTCCATGTAGTTAAAATTCATTGAAATCTTGTGCACAGACTGTAATTAAATTATTAAAAATGGTGATTGCTCATTGCTATGATTATACAGGCTACAAACAGGTTCAGGCCACCAGCTCAGGTGACTTAATGAAGTGGGGCCAAAGTTAACAACCGCAACTCACAAGAACGGACCTCTGTTCTTTATTTTTCTCCTTTAGCAATCTAGCCTTCTGCCTCTTCAGAAGGTCCCTATTCCCCTATAAGCACTGACGGCATGGTTTCAACAGCACTTGTCTTGAACAGCTTGATTCCTGCTGGACCTGCCAAGCAACAAGCTGTGGGCCTCATCTCTTAGCTAGGACTGGTGAAAGGTGATAGGAGTCTCTCCTATCCAGGTCTATTTATACACAGAGGAGCTACTGCTCAAGCAGTGGCAAAGAAAGCTTCTCTCAACCCACATGCCTCCCCCTTGACCTGAAGGTGCCATCACTAGAGGTGAAAGCACAGATTAAAATCTCCATGCTCCAGTCCATCCTTGGCCTCTCTCCGAGACAGAAGAAAGGGGTCCCAAGGAGTGTAGTGGTGGGTTTTGTGACATGGAAACTTGTCTGCTGGGAAATGGACCAAGATCCACAAGTCATATCACGCAGGCCACCAGTCAGCTATCAGATGGGTACAGCGGTCAGTCACCTCTGGGTTGAGCAGGGTGAAAAGCCTTGGGGAGCCAGAGCTCTGCTTTGAGACTGTGGGTGCAGTTCTAGGTGGTACTCACACTGTGATGAGCTTGTTCTGCAGCTCGGGTTTGGTGATGATGTACACCTGGACTGTGTCAAAGAGTTCTCGGGATATGAAATCCTCTGGGACCTGCATGGCCAAGGAAACAATAAAGTATCACTGAAGAGCCAAGAGACATAACCCTACAGTCTCATAAGAAACCCTAGCAACAGGATACAGGCAGGACAAGGAGAGCGAGCACCTGTGAAAAGTCACTTTTGTAGAGAGACACAAGATGTCACAGTATAAAATGTCACAGTTCAGCTGAAGACACACACAGGGCCCAGCTGCAGGCCCTTGACTCATGGGGCCACCATTGGCTGGGTGCTGGATACAGCATAGACTGAATTCCCTCAGTTCATTGCCTGATTGAATACCCAATAGACCCCCGCCCCAAATACTCTGGCATCACTGACCTGGTAGGTTATTTTAGGCCCCAGCGTTGGGTGAAATTCACTGAAGAAGATGCACTCAATTCTGCTGCTGCTGTCCATGGTTATTGCTGCAAGAGATACAACACAGAACTGATGCTTACCAAAAGACCAATCGAGTAGATTCTCTTTGGATTCTCTTCTCTTGGTCTTTTCCTTCCTCTCCCACGGAGAATGTTAGTGCAATAAAAATAATACAAACCTTACATTAATGCAAATTTTCAAATTCACAAGACTCATGTGTTCCAAAGCTGAGTTACAGCAGCTGTAAATCTGGCCTACGTGATATATACAAACTCTGAAATTAATGCCATGTGTGATAATACACATGCATTAGAGGGACAGGTAGCGTATAAAATATCCCAGCCTTTGACACAGCACTAGCATGGCTTTATGCACTGAATTCCAGTGCAATCACCATACTAGTAGCTGAGCCCTATCTCATTAACAAAGTCACTTTACTTCAAAACAGGCCGTTGCCTCTCCTTCCAGTCCAGCAGTTACTTATGTGAAGCAACACTTTAACACACCTACTGCCCACTGGAAGTTGACTGTACATGCAAAATATAAATTATTCCCTGACTTCTACATGATTAAAACATTAACTTGAAAGGTGACCTGCAAAGGTACACAAAAATGGAATAGAATTATGATATCATAAAAAGCAAGAGTGAAAGTTTAGCAACTGCAAGAGAAAGGAGTCTTAGAATATTTAAAACTTTTTTTCCTCAGGCGCAGGAGCAGGGGCAGGGGGTGAATTTTAGGCATAAATATTCAACAAAAGCAAACTTTTTTTTTTGTTTTTTAGTATTAAAGTTTAACATGAGCTTTTTGCAAAGATTCATGTTGCAAAGCGCAAACTCGCAAGTTTTATGGACCATGAACATAAAGGTAAAACTGAAGTTAATGTTCAAATGCAAATTAATATCCACAGAACATTTCCCTCCCCCTTAGCCACACTTCTTTTGCTCAGTGCTACAGCTGCTAATACCTAAAACGTCTATACCATTGATCATCCCAGGGTGCCAGCGCATTAGTGCGGCTGGGTGAATATCGTCACCGCACTGTACAGAGACATAAAGCCTGCTTAAGAGCATACAGCAAGCTGGGGAAAGGGACTCTGGAGTCCTGGCCCTGTGAGCTAGCGACTTAACTCCCTTCCCCACGATGGGGATAGAACCCAGGAGTGCTGGTTCCCACCCCCACCAGACCCTCTCCCCTCCCAGAGCCAGCACAGATCCCAGCAGTCCTGGCTCCCGCCCAGGCTGAGCGCACACCCTGGGCTCTCAGCTCTGGGTGGCGCAGGGGTGCCCGTGCTCTAGGCGTAGGGGGAAGGGAACTGTCCACGTGACGTGCGCTAGACGGGGGGTGGCAAACAGCCGCGCCCAAGCGACCCTACAACAACCCGGCGCAGGGCCCCAGCCTTTGCAACTCAGCCGCAGACACGAAACCAATCACCTACCCAACGTCGCACATGCGCACACAGCCGCCGCCTAAGCCAGCGCAGGAGCCCTCTCACCCGAGCTTTTCGACAGGTGCATGCGCAAGCTAGCAAGAGGTCACTCCCCACCGGCCGATCTACGCATGCGCACTGAAGGCTCGCCCGCATAGGACTAGAACGCCCCTCCTTTTGTCACATGTTCCTGGAGCATGAAGGCGAAGTCGCCGTGACAGGAGGTCGGGTGGGTCTTACGGATGATAGACAGAAAAGTTTAGCCACTCAGAGGCGCTAGAAGGCGGGTCAATATAATGAAGGACAGCAGAACCCACCCAATCAGGAGGTGGGGGTAGTTTTTCCTGCTTGTCTCGCCGAGTTCTCGCAGATGCTGGTGCCCGAGGATCAGGTGAGGCTCCCTGAGCCCGCGGCAGCCCGCGCCCAGAGGCGGGGGAGCCTCTCCCCCCCTGCGGGACCCTCCTCCGCTGCGCTGAGGGGCTGGCACCAGGGGCCCGGCGGTGGGCGGGGCTCGGGGCATGCAGCCCTCCCCGTCGCAGGGCCAGCCAGCAATGCCCTCAGGCCCGTGCGGGGCTGGTGAGGAGCCGGGCGGCCTGGGGCGCGTTGAGACGCCCGGACTCGCGGCTGCTTCCCGCCCGCCAGGTGCTGGGTGTCCTGTGGTCATGCCCCGTGCGGTGACGCTGACCGGGTCGCTCTCCCGCCACAGAGCAGGTCCCCGAACCGGCTCTCTGGTGCCGTTGCCGGGTCCGCTCGGGGGCAGTTGCGGGAAGGGTTGGTGAATGGGAGGCCTCTGCTCTCCTTCCACTCAGGGTGCAGCGCTCTCCCTGGCCCACGCAACGTGTGGGTCGCCCCTGCATAGGATGGGTTCGCACAGGAGGCGAGGCTGTGTGCCTGTGTCATCTTAACCCGAGCGCTGCATGGCACACGTCGCGTGGGCCCGAGCGGGCCTCTGGCTTCGCAGTTATTGGAGATCTGTTCATCTAGCACAGGGGTGGGCAAACTCTTTGGGCCGAGGGCCACATCGGGGTGTGAAACTGTATGGAGGGCCGGGTAGGGAAGGGTGTGCCTCCCCAAACAGCCTGGTCCCCACCCCCGATCCGCCCTCTCCCGCTTCCCACCCCCTGACTGCCCCCCTCAGAACTCCTGATCCATCCAACTCCCCCCGCGCCTTGTCCCCTAACTGCCCCCTCCCAGACCCCCTGCCCCCAACCACCCCCTGGGACTCCACACCCTATCTAAACCCTCCCCCCGACCTCACCCCTCTATCCAACCACTCCCTGTCCCCTGACTGCCCTCTGGGACCCCCTGCCCCTTATCCAATGCCCCGGCCCCCTTACCGTGCCACTCAGAGCAGCATGTCTGGGAGCTGCACTGCCCAGCCAGAGCAAGAGACACTGTTGCGCTGCCCTGCATGAGCACAGAGCCCTGGCGCCCAGAGCGCTGCCGGTGCGGGAGGGGGGACAGGAGAGGAGGGGCCGGGGGCTAGCCTCCCGGGCCAGGAGCTCAGGGGCTGGGCAGGACGGTCTCGCTGGCCGTAGTTTGCCCAACTCTGATCTAGCATCACAAAAATAATGGCCTCTTCTTGTCCCAGCTGGGTCTGATCCTACTCTGATTTCAGGATCTGCTCCATGTGCATTTTGGAGTCACACTGCTGACTTTACAGCCCTGTCAAGCCATTTCAGGACTACAGGAAAAGGAGCCTTCTGCAGCATCAGCCGTGACTGGCTGCAGAATCTGTTTCACTGGGAGGATGTAAGAGGCAGGAAGGAGAAACCCAGCAGGTTTTCAGATTCCAGATGGAAATTGTAGCACTGACAGTTAGAAAAGTCATCTTTTAGCTTGTAAACACAGCTCCCTCCATCTGGTGTCCTTAAGTGAGGACTAAATATGGACCGTCATCATGATGATATTCCTTTTTCAGTGTCTAAATGCGCTTTGAAGCCATGTTTCAGAGAAGTAACTATGTTAGTCTGTATCCCCAAAAAGAACAGGAGTACTTGTGGTACCTTAGAGACTAACACATTTATTTGGGCATAAGTTTTCGTGGGCTAAAGCCCACTTCATCAGATGCAGTGATACAAGCTTTCTTGCTTGGCTGGAGCACCAAGGAGGAGCACCAAGCCTGCATGGCAGTGGGTGAGATGACCTGTGTATTAATTCCTCTCTGGAATGATTTACACTTTTGCATATTCTAAATCAGAGGTGGACAAACTACGGCCCGCAGGACCCTCCTGCCTGGCCCCAAGCTCCTGGCCGGGGAGGCTCATCTCCGGCCCCTCCCCTGCTGTTCCCCCCCCCCCAGGCAGCCTCAGCTTACTGTGCCACCGGCGCAATGCTCTGGGTGGGGGGACGCTGCGAGCTCCTGGGGCAGCGCAGCTGCAGAGCCCGGCCTGACCCGGTGCTCTGTGCTGCGCGGCGGTACGGCTGTAGTGCTGCCAGGCACCGGTGCTCCAGGCAGCGCGGTAAGGGGACGGGGGGGTTGGATAGAGGCCAGGAGAGTTCAAGGGGGTGGTCAGGGGCTGGGGATAGGGGTTGGGGCAGTCAGAGGGTGGAAAACAGGGGGGTTGAATGGGGGCAGGGGTCCCGGGAGGACAGTCAGGAAGGAGAGGAGGGGTTGGATGGGGCGGTGGGGGACTGGGGAGTCCGGGGGCGACAGGGGGCGGTGGATGGGGCAGGGGTCCTCTGGGGGCCGTCAGGGAACGGGGGTTTGGATGGGCTAGGAGTCCCGGGGGAGCCATCAGGGGGCGAGAAGCGGGTGGGTCGGATAGGGGTTGGGGGCCAGGCCATGCCTGGCTGTTTGGGGAGGCACAGCCTCCCCAACCGGCCCTCCATACAATTTTGGAAACCTGATGTGGCCCTCAGGCCAAAAACGTTTGCCCGCCCCTGTTCTAAATACACACTGCCACTGTTGTGCAGCGCATGGGGCACCGATCTGTGTTCAATAGACAGAAATGTGATAGCACCATAATTGCCTTGCAGTGGTATAATATATCGGCTTGCATCTTTGTCTCCATTATCCTTCCTCTGTTGGATGAAATAGAGCTGATCTGCTCCAGCTAGGTGTATCAATTTCTTCTACTTGTCGAGCTCCTCTTGATCTCGTCTGAATCTTTGGAACAAAGGGCCGTGTGTTGATGCTCCATGTTCAATCGGCTGATTCCCACAGAATTGTTATAACATCCCCCTAAACCAAGCTGTTCTCTCTTGTCTATCAACAGCACAATGACAAAGTTCAATGCTTTTAAAGTCAGTCCCACTAGCTCCTTCCAGGCTGAGCTGTTCAGCATGTGCCCTCCTGCATGGCATTCATATTGTTTTGTTGTTGATGCATATTTCTTTCAGCGGCACATCTGACATTTTTCCAATCATGTGGAAAGACCTGCCCCACCCTGCTAGGGGCCTGAACACTTCCCATTGCTTATGAGTGAGTGAACAAGCAGCCAGTATCTGCAGTTTATAAACTGCCTTGGCAAACTTCAGGAGTCTCATCCTCCAGATTCACTGGTGGGATCTTGTATGAGCCCTTTGTGGTATAATGATAATTTCCACCCCTTGTTGTTCTTTGGGACTTAACTTTATTTTTCTCATTTTTCTGCTTTCTAGTTAATCCGTGGATGTCTAGGAAGGACAGCAGTGAATTTCTTGCTTTAAGTCAGGAATGGTCTATGGTGCTTCCTTGCTGGATCTCTCCCTTGCCTGGATGTCTTGGGAAAGCTAATACCTACTAGACAGCCTGTGTAGCCAGTGAGAGTTGAATGGTGTAAGCACTGCTGCTGTGGGGCGGAAGACAGGCTCATCTCACAATGGCTCTGACCATCGAGACAGAGTCACGGATCTACCGCTCCCTGCGAGCCGTCTCCGGCATCACTGCCCACCTTGTCTCACTTGGATTCACCATCTTTGTGGCCGTACTGGCCAGACCTGGGTCAAGTAAGTAGAAGCCAGTGCGGGGCAGAGCTACTGGACAGCATCCATGAATAAATACATGTGTGGGATCAATCTTAGTGCTTCTGAAAGTGATGGACTGGCTAGTGCCAGAGGATGCATGCAGACCTTATGTAAACTCCCCAGGCACCTCTGCCACCCCTGTGGCTATTTGAATCCTGCCCCTCTCTGCCAGCACACATTAATCCTGACCTGCAGCATCCTACCTAAAGCTTCTGCTATTCTGGTCGTGGGGTTCCTGCTCAGCCAATGCACCTCATTCGCGGTCTGCTGCATTCCCAGCTACCTATCGCTAGGCCTTTTGCAATCACAGATTCCTACTCCTTCTCTTGGCTGTTTTTATAATGTGGAGGATGAGATTCCCCAGCCCCACTTTCAGTGATGACTGAAGAGGTATGTTACAAACAAGTGGATCATCCCGCTGCCTTCCTTCAACCATAATGGTTTTGCTGACAACCATTGCACTGTCAATTTAAAATAAAGAGTTTAAAATAGTCCCCATCTGCCCCTTGGTCCCCCAGTGCCTGTTTTTGCAGATCTGGTCAAATTTCACAGTGTGGTTCCCTGGGTGGAAAAAACCA